AGAAACATCCGGACCGCAACCTCATACACGGAACTCTACATCAGCATCTCATTCTCCGGTATCTATTGCGCGCCCCTGCCAATTCATCCAACCCATCTATATCCGTGAGGGTGGATCGATCCCGACGATCCGCTATCTAGAGAAAGAATTCAATGCGCCAGCGGCTCACCTACCGTGTGGCCAGGCGAGTGACCATGCGCACTTGGATAACGAGCGGCTGAGGGTTGAAAATCTGTATAAGAGTCGAGAGATTATGACGCGGGTGTTCAGGGATTTGGGAAAGGATGGAGCTGGGACTGGTAATGACGGTACTCTAGACGAGGACGGCAGTGCTAGTAATGATAGCGAGGCTGGGGAGGATTCAGAGGAGTAAGACAGGGAATGGACTGAGGGATGGAATGGAGGATGATTGAAGTTGTTGATGGAGTCAGTTGGTAACCATCATGCATCGGGATGCCTTCTTCGATTGAGCACCTTCACCACAGGACCTGACCTCGATGCTCTACTTTCTGATACTATGTTATTCTTTCTAATGCTTTTCCTCCCCTATAATGTATTGATAGAAATACTTTTTTTTTTCCCGCTTGGAGTTGCATTCTTTCCCCATCCCTCGTTTGACATTACCATATCCTTTAATTCGCATTTCACATTTGCGGTCTATTTGCATTATTATCCATCCCTCTTTCAAAAATGTCATTCGCAGGGAACAAAACCACAAAAGTGGGGAACAACACAAATCAGAAAATCAAGGGTTATATTCGTTACCACATATCGTTATCCTTATCACATATCTAATACACATGCATACAATGGAACTACAATGCGACATGCGACACCGTGTACTCTGTATATATGCAAAGAAACACAAAGAAAAGATCACAAAGACGCCTCCACGCGAATCATACAAATAATGCAAAGTAAAACGAACAACCCCCCCCCCCCCCCCCCAACCCCAAAAGGGGACCCACGTCACTCCTCACTGTACATCTTGTAAAAATACAGACATCAAAATATGCTCGCTCTGACTCACCAAATCCTCTTCGCCGCCATCTCATACCTCATCACCCCTTCAATCCCATCGCCTCCAGCACTGGGCTTCACCACTCTATCCCGTTCCTCTCTCTCCTTTAATCGTCTTGCGCCTTCTGGATCATCAGCATAGATCCACCTTCTCCGATCCTCGCCCACCTCCACAGCACCCCAGCCACCAACGCGACGCGCACCCTCGACGATGTCGGGGTTTGTTGTTGCTGTCGTGGGCTGGGGGTTGGGAAATTGTGATGGTGGAGGTGGCGGGGGCGGTGTTGTTTCTGCTGTTGTTGTTGCCATGGTGGATGGTGTAGCAGTTGGTTTAGAAGAGGAGGCATTCGTGATCGTGACCCGTTCTAGCGATTTCATTTTCTTATAGCGGGCGCGGGAGTAGCTGAGGAGAATGATGCCGAGGATAAGTTTTATGAAGAGGAGGGTGAGGTATAGGAGCAGGACGAGGATGGTGGTGAAAATTGGTATGAAGGCTGCGGGAGAAGGGGTGGCGTGGGCTATCATGGTTTGGAATAGCGAGGAGAGTTTAGTGAGGAAGCTGGGATCGAGGGGGTGGAGGGGTAGTATAAATGAAGGGGAGGGCGATGGGGATGGGGAATAACGGTCGTGGATTGAGGTTAAAGACGTGGTGTTTGACTGAGTGACGAGGGATGGTGTCTGTGGTAGCCACGATGTCAGGAACATCTGATAGGTTTGTATGGAGACGCGGAAGAAGAGGCACGCGAGCGGAATGACGGGTAGGCCTAAGCGGCGGTTGAGATTCTGGTCCGCGAAGGCATTCGTATAGTAGTCCTTGGCGAGTATGTCGAGGAACCGGCCGTACAGCGCAGGACGGATATTGTTGAATTTATTGATATATGCGTGCTTCAACCAGTCGACTATCATTTCAGAACCTAGGACCACAAGGAAGGGTCCGAGGAGGTGGCCGATCGTTGGGAGAAATGAGTTCACCTTGCTAAGCGACGAGAGTAGGGATGACGGGAGGATGGTGAAGGCCTGTGGAAGAATGGACGATGCAGTTCTGGGTGGAGTTGCAAATGATGTAGCATTCGCGCTCGGGGTTGGCTTGCTACCAGCAAATAAGCTCAAGCCACTGCCAAAGCTGAAGATACCCGTTTCAACAATATTCCGAGACGCGATGATTGTAAGCATCAGCCAGAGTTGAAATCGCTCGACAACGTCGGCACAGGTAAGCTGGAAGAGATTTTCTTTTTCAAATTTCTTAAAGACGGTGGATTTAATTTCCACAAACTGGTTCGATAATAAGAGGGTAATCAAGGCATTCGAATATGAATTCACCGCCACATTGAGTGTGATGACTTGATAGAAAAGTGAGACAGAATGGATAACGGTATATATCAGTGCGATGATAAATAGCCAAAATGGACGCAGAATCTTGCTGCGCCCATCAGGTTTCCTCTCCAGAGCTTCGCGTGAAAACAAGCATTCGAGGACGTCCTGGCCGATTGCTGAAAGCAGTCTATCCCCAACCTAAATATCCAGGTAGGTATTAGCTTCTCGAACTCCAAATGAGGTAACAGATCAGATGGTAGCCATACCTCAAGTACGTTATAAATAACATAAAGCTTAATGGCAGCCTGCCCGCGAATCCAGTGATAAACCCGACTGGCATCGAAATACATCAGAATCAGACATGTACAGATCATGAGAAAACCCTTCAAAATATCTGCCTTATCGTTCGGTAAAAGTGTGGAGGGAATAGACCTGGTCCTGCGATGTCTTCGACTGGAAGGCACCCGGTTTCGCGGGTCATTTTTTTCAGATGGCCGATTCTTGACATCATGGTCAAGGAATGGGCTCTCCTGATCAGTAGAAACATTGCTCGAAAAGCGTGGCCGCGAGTGAGCAGGGCTGTCATTATGCTTTTGATCATGCCCGTTCTTGCGGGCAGCCGGGCACCCCTGTTGTCTCCGGCGCCATACCCTGCCAAGTCCGGTAAAAATAAACCGTGAAATAAACTGTGCTTCGGCTCCAACATTGATAGCCCAGGAACGAAGAAGAAGAAAAATAGACTTGAGAAATCGCAATGGCAGGATTGTGAAGTAATAAAGCCACGCATCGATACATGCAAGAGCACCGAAGAACAGTACCTGTTCTAGGGCGGGAGGTAGAAGGAAAAAGTTTTGTAGCCGCTCGAGTTTCGCTCGCGAAGACTCGTAAGGAAAATCATTCGTGGAGGAACGGTGAATGTATAAGGGCGAGGGCCGTTCAGAGGCCAGTTCTAACTGGAGATATGTCGGGATAGAGAAAGGAGGGAGTGGGATAGATTGGGGTGCTGGCGACGGAAGTAGATCTGGCGCCGATGATGAATTTGGACGACTTCTAGAGGTGTCAACACGGTTTGGCCTTGGCCATGAATCAGCGACCCTATCACCACTTGCGGAAGATCGCCGTTTCTGGAGCGTATCAGTGGTCGACACAGCTCGGGCTGAGTGGCTTTTCTGACGGGGAGAGAACGGACGGATCGTTTGATGTCCGGACGTTAGAAAGTCGGGTGCATCCTCCACATGTACATTTTTGCCAGCACTTAATTTGCGGCGGGGAGATTTTGTTCGTTTTAAAGACCCATCCACAGCCCGTGGTCCCATCGACGTGTCCAGGATCGTACCATTACTTGGCGAATCTGAGGGTATTGGAGCCCGTAAATTTGGCTGTCTTTTATCGGGCTCCAGTGGGATGGAGTGTAGGGTTAAAGATTCTGGCGAAGAAGTGAGTTCATGAATTTTTGCCGGCGACAGTTTGAGAACTTTGTCCTTTTCACGATCATGACTCGAAGGAGATTGCGGGTTTGTATTAATCGGCTTCAGAGGGCGCTGCGAGGAGGATGGGGTTCCTACATCTGCGGGTTGTACGGCCTGATGCACCGGCCTGTCGCCAGAAGCCGGGGATGCCACCGTCGCAGTTCCGCCATCCGCCTTCTTAACAGTATTTGCCAAACCTAATCGAGTCTCCGTTGAGGTCGGTGCAAAATGTGGTTTGTGTCCCCTCTGGCCTTCCATCGCCTCGTCGGGTGTATGAAAACGCACCACGTTTGCACCGTCATGCTTCGACAGAGTGCTTGTTTCGGGATTACGACTTTTCGGCATACCCAGATGTTCCTTATGCAGCACTTCCGGCTGCGGAGAGATGTGTCCATTGATAGCCCCAAAATTTGATCCCTTGAAGGGCCCCTTTACTCCCAGGCCTATGTCAGCGTCACTCCCCTTCCGGGCCCCAGCAACATACGACCTTTTGTCATCTTCTGAAAGGCTGCCAGAGCCCATCTTTCCGTTTGTCCTAATTTCACTGCTCCCGCCAGACACCGCGGTAGCAGAAGCAGCAGTACCGCCAAGTATATCATCCATCATGAGTTCTCTCGTTTTAAATAGATACCGCGATCATCATCATCACTAGGATCCCATTGTTCTTCCGGCTCACTCTCTTACTTCGTAGCATAGGCTGACCCAACAAATGAGTCTTTCAAGATCCGGTTGTAGGTATCAATGGCTCATAGCTGAAGAGGGTAGAAAGCTTTTCATGGTTTGCGGTTGTTGGCTGCTATTGGCATCTCGGTCCGCGTGTGCGACGAGGTGAATATGCTGCGCTCCGAAATGTAAGGTGTCCTGAAGCGAGGACTGGCGGCGTATCGAGCCTGGACAGTCAAGCGCCAAACATATAGGGACAGGGATGTCAGTGGACTTGGATTACCGTAGATTTCCTTGCGCAAAGCTGTCCTTTGTCCGGCGATGGGTGGAGGGAGATATGCCAGCTTAGTCAGCCATGCAAACCAATAAATAATATAGTTTGGTCAAAGCGAATTATCAAGCTCAAAGTTAACCTTGTAAAAGTTTAAGCGTACAAATAAAGGATATTTAAAACCTAAAATCTTGAGAGCAAGATTTAATTAATGTGGCAGTCTGCTACAATTGTCGAAAATGACAACGTACCTAGGAATGTAGCTTTGATGTTGGAGTAGAATATCTTCAAAAAAGAAAATAAAATAAAAAGAAAAAAACAGCTTCTTAGTTCGCCAGTAACTAGTGAAAACAACCACTTGAAGCATCCATTTGTAAACATGTAAACATGAAAATACTACTTAGTTACCTTAACTACTCCTTACGCCAAGTTCCATCAATGTCCAGAATACACATTCCCCACCTGAGAAAGCAATACTTGTTCCTCTTCTAGTACCTTTCTTTTAAAACAGCATGCATATAAAGACTATGAGCGCTGCTGTAACGTATAGGTATGTACATGTATAGTACATCATAGAAACTTCACAAACCACCACCATGGTGACTAGGTATACTAGGGTAGGTGGCTCTCTCCCGCACTTGGGACAGCTACAGCTCGATATTTTATGTATGTATGTATGTACGAACAAGCAGAAGGGCACCTGGTCCTTCCTGAGCTGGAATGGGTAAAATGTCTGTACTTATTTTATGTCAAACTCACGCACTTCTCGTGGGATGGGACGGTGTAAATGATCCCGCAACTGTCCTTCATGTGTATAAAAAAGGGAGAAAGAAAGAAAGAAAGAAAAGCAGAAGCTGAAGAAGAAGAAGAAGAAGAAGAAGAAAAGGAAACAAAAAAACCCAGACCTGCCAGATTCTCTCTCCACACCAACACCACACCTCCTTCCTACCCAACCCAACCATGATAGATATAGATATAGATATAGATATCCACAGCTAGCCAACCAGCTCTAATCAGATACTTCTCTCCTCATCTACTATGTAATCTAAAGTAAAAGCGCTTCTCATCAAATCGCGGGAAGTGGGCCTTCAGAACCTTAACTACTCCCCTACTATGTAATGATACCGTTGAACCCACGAAAAACCTGTGGGGTGGACTCAGTGGAGCGGACTGCGCGCCTTATATCTCTTGGCGACGATTTATTTCGAATCGGCGCCCCCGGAGTTGAGGGAACCGCAAGTGGGAAAATTTAAAAAAAGGAATTACTTAAAACGTACTGTACATGTACAAGATTAACTTTTCCAAGAGCTTGCACAGGATACATGTAGTTATTTCAAAAAAGGGGTTGTACCGAGCTACTTGGCTAGCTACATAGATGTGAAATAAAAAGAAAGGAGTTGGGCGGGGGGGGAGCAGTAAATGCTTTCTTTCACTGGTAGATTTTTCCAAGCTCGGCCTATTCAATTGGTTGATGAGAATTTATATGTTCATGTTACATTCATGCGAAGAAGGGGAATGGAAAAAAGGGGGAAAAGAGGTAATTTAAACAAGAGTGATTAAAGAGAGTTTTGCGCAAGAGAAGAAGAAGAAGAAGGGCGAATCCGGTATCAAAGTATAGATAGGTATTGTGAAGTGTAAGTAACATGGACATAAGTGTAACCGAACGTAACGAGTAGAAGTGGGGAAGAAAGAACAAGAAGTGAATGGAATTAAAAACCACTACAAAAAATAAATAAATAAATTCGGGTATTTGGGGCGTGGTTGTATTGTGTGTATCTGTTTGATCATTTGTGCTCGTTCATGAAAAAAGGGGTAGATATAAAAAGCATGGCTTTAACAAAATCCAGTTTTGCTTGGTTTCTGCTATTTTTGGAAAGGTCGTGGCAAGGAATGATGAGAAAAGACGAGAAAAGGAACATGGCAAAAAATGAATATTGAAATGGAGAACGGGATCGAGCATGACAATGTCCCTTTTGGATAACATGAAATGGTGAGGAAATGTGAGAAATGTTTGGATAGCTATTGAGATCGAAGAGAAACGATGTGAGGGGTAGACGGTCGTGTGTGAGATGTGACTCGAGCGGCATTGTGGACCATAGCTCAATGTGTGTAGGTAGGTGTTGAAAACATACGGGCTAAGTGAGAGCTACGTAGGTAACTAGTTTCACAGAGCCCAAAGCCATAATAAAAGAATAGAACTAAAAAAAACGTCTCCATATTCCACTGGGATCGAATTTACCCTTTTCGCCTTTTGCGCCAGCAACGTCCGGCAGAAACTAAAAGCACAGAAGCCTTAAAACGCCGGTAGACTTTACGAAAATCCTGGCTCGTGAGGGTTCAATCCTTTAGGCTAAACAAATCTAATGCTCCCGCAATATATCGAGCACAAAATGATGTGAATATTTTATTGTAATATAACACATAAATAATTTTGCATATTCTTATTTACGCCTCAAAATCCACCATATGGCGATGGATTTTGAGGGGGTGCGGTGCCTGATCGCTGCGGCCAGGGTCTGTTGGAGGCAGCGGATCGGTTGGCATGCTCATTGGAAGGAGAAGTCGTGGATGGACGAGTAAAGTTGCGGATAGGAGGCGGGCCTGCGGTCATTCCACCGCCCGGGAGACGTGGGAGAGGATTCCGGGGCGCCGGGCTTGCTGGGAAGGCCGGGTAGCCGCTACCACCGCTGGGAGTAAGGTGTGGCGAGTATGGCCGCGCAGGGGGTGACGTTTGCGAACGGCTAACGGGGGAAGCGCTGTCGCTGAGCGCCGGCATTGGTGGTGAGAAGGGGAATTGTTGGTTATCCGCTGACGGGTCCGGCCCTGGCGGTATGTGGTCGCGGGGCCTTGGACCTGCCATGAGTGACAGTGGTGTTCCTTGCCTATCGATTGGTGGTAGGACCGGAGGGCCTTGATTATAATCTCGTTCATTGTTGTAGCTAAACCCTGCGGCATTGTTCACCAAGGGTAGGTTGTCATCGGAAACGCGAGAGCTGTGGTTGCCATTGCCCATAGACATATCATCATAGTTGGACCAGTTGGTATCTGGCAGGCTTGGTTGCCGGTGAGAATTGGCACCTGGTGTTGTAGAGTTGGCATATGGCGGCAGAGTCGAGACTGTGGTCTGACGTGATAGTCCCGGCATTTCTGGAAGTTCATCTGAACTGTGCTGGCGCAAATTAGGCAACGTTGGTTGACGCTGAGGGGTGGGGCCTCTAGATGGGGCGTTGGAATATAGCGGAAGCGTCGACACAGTTGTCTGGCGGGAAAGAGCTGGCATCTCTGGCAGTTTGTCCGTGCTTGGCTGATGGAAAGTGGGCAGGGTGGGCTGCCGTTTGACAATACCAGTCGCAAGTTCAGGGTCAGAAGGACCGCGATCCTGCAGCACGACGTCCTTGGCCAATACCTTGTCGACCTTCTCCTTAACAATTCTCTCAAATCGCCTATTAATCTTGCGGCGACAATAGGCAGTGAGGGAACCGTCTTCGCTAGGGATATGATGCCACAGAAAAAGTAGATATAGGACGCACGACAGCATGAGGCTGAGGACAGAGAACACCCAAATCACAAGGGTAAATAACATCGCTGACAGAATCACAGCTTGTCGCCTGTCCTTATCGGCCAATGCTCCAACATTGCTAAAAAACTGAGAGACAGAAGAGGTACCTTCCGGGGGTGCGTGTTCTCCTTGGAGAATCAGATCCGACTCCATTACGGAATATAGAATCGACCCATTAATGAACTGTCGAGGGCCCTCGGCGAAGACCGTTCGCATCCATGCCTCAAAGTTGAAGTACGTGAAGAGGGCAACGTAATCAGCGCCCTTTTTGCTCTTGGTAAGTTCGTAAAACACCAGGAAACGACGCCAGCCTTGACCTTTCTCCCCAACGCGGATACTTTGAATTCTAACGGCTAGGGGGTCAAGATAACTCTGTGCGACTCCTCCTTGTTTCATAACACGGATCGCACGAATCCATCGGTATATGAGGAAAACGAAGGAAAGCATGATGCATCCTGCGAAGATCCATTTTGAGATGTAACGGGGGATTAATTGTTCTGCCTCAGTGGACCATCGATTGAAAGCGATCAAATTGACAGCGGTGAAGGTGTCGACGCCATATACAGCGATCGATATAAAAACTGAAATCCAAAGAATGAAATAAGAGAGTTGGGTAAAACATGTAGTCGACTTGAAGTCTTGGAGATTCTATCAAGTAAAATAGGCAGTTAGTGGAAAGACAATTTCCAAAAGTAGCCCTTTTCCAAACAACAAGTAGATTGAGGAGGTCCTTACAATGTAATCCCATTTTTGTTCTTGTCGCATATGTCCCCAGTATTCTTCCTTCCTGTTAGATGTACAACAACCCATTGTCTAAGACGAATCCGCGATCTCTCTGAGAGTTGTTTTTCATGCGATTAAAAAAGTCAAGAGTGACCTGGTTCAACCAAGTTTCTGGGTAAGGAGAAATGTAAATGTGATGTACAAAGAGTACACGGTGAGTTATTTTGAGAGAGTGTGTGATCGCGATTCTCGGTCCAGCCGGTCGCAGAGGGAAGGGGGAAAAAAGAAGGAAGAGGAAGAGGACAACAAAGTGGTTTATCGTGGTGTGAGAGGCGTGGTAAATGTTTTAAATGACTGTGAAGCAGTATACAAAATGTAAAATGCGTGTATAATTGGACATCTATCTCTACGATAGGCGCTGAAGAGAGAGAGGGAGAGTGGTTTGAAGTAGTAGTTGTGCGGTGTGTTACATCGATCACACTTGTGGGGAAATGAATGGTTGGCGTCAATCTAACGGCGATTCAACACGAAAGATTGCAGCAGCAGCAGCAGCAGCAGCAGCGCGGGGGGGGGCACTGGATCGAACGACCACGGTAGAAACAACTACTCCGTAACATGGGTTAGAAAAGAGAGAGATTAGAAAGAGAGAGATAGAAAGAAAGGAGAATGGTCAGGATAAAAGAATGGATGGATGAATGATTGATGATTGATGATTGACAATTGAACGATTGACGATTGTGGTTGGTTGGGGGAGTGTGGTGGTCACTGGGTGGCTAAACGGGACTAGCGGGCCTGGGCGCCAAGACCAGGGGAAAGTGGGTTGTTGGGCTTGCAAATGCCAGCAGCCTTGGGGAATTGGGGAATTAATTACTCCGTATTAAATAATGAATTCATAGTTATACAGCGTAGTTAAAATGATGAATAAATAATTAAGTGAATGCTAGCGCTGAATGAATGAAATGCCTAACAATAATGAAAAAGCTGCACCCGGATTCCCCTCCTCCATCCTCTGCAGTCTGTAATATTAAATCTGCAGGTGAATGTGCAGTACCGTACCTATGATCACTCACTCCCGTATTAATTTGGACTTCCATGGGTTTAGGGTATGAAATAATATAATAATAATATGAAACGGTTCCAACCCAACCAGCGGCGAACATTTCCACGGCGCTAACTGCTTCTGAAACAGTGCCCAGATCCATCCATGGATCTGATCGATCTCCGGCTGGTAAACCCCGTGATCAACGCTAGAAGGTTCTGATACCTAGGTATGGATGGATGGTCTGGGCTCAGGTACACCCGCCGTTATCCGGTTAGCGTTGGTTACCTGCCGCTAACCTCTAGTCGCCGAGGTCTATTGCGCCAGAGTCCATAATGAGTTAAGGAATTGGTGAAATATAAGTTAACAGTACATATAATAGTAACCTGAGTGTGGACTATAATAAACAAAAAAATATATAAAAGCAGAATTGAAGCAGAAGAAAACAATCACTTTGAAGTGCTTCTCCTTCATCCGCCTGAGAGATCTGACCAATCTGATAATATGTACGCCTGAAGCGCACAGCTTTACCCATTATTCTCTCCAGAACTGTCAAGATTAAAAAATAAAAAAAAAATGAATGAAGCAGGTTAAAAATGAATCTGTATACAATGAGAAATTTACCATATTCAGATCGATGTGTCTTGGTTCATATAAATAGCTGTTATTATAGACAGACCGACTATTGCTATTTTGCAGAACAACAAATGATCACGGCCACATATACTCCGTACTGTTACTGTACCTACCTACGTTTGATTCTTCACAATCCGATCTTCGGCCAATTAATTCACCTCCGATTCTTCTCCGGCCTATAACTGTTTATTTTATTTTTTCTCCGCAGGCTTGAGGTACTTTCTTGGCATCGAGGTATTTTCGTGGATGGGGTTTTAACGCAAAACCTCGCTAGTACTCGGTGCATTGAGAAGTGGTTGGAAACATAATGTGCGGCCGGATGGTAATTGGAATATAAAAAGGATGTCTGTCTGTCTGTCTGTCTGTATGTATTTCATGTCTATGCTGCGAGGTTCTCTTCATCCCGAATAAAATATCTACAAAAACACACAAAGTATGAAAAGAAAACAAATCGCTTCAAGGCCGAGAGGATATAAATCGCATGCACTGTACATGTTTAAAAAAAATAAAAATGCAAATAAAAAATAAAAAATACTCGAAAGGAAGAGAAAACAGGGAAAAAGTGGCAACGAGAAAAAGTTAACAGATATCAAACTCAAAGTGCAATCGAAGCTTCAGACACAGATTGCTTTGGAAGAGAGGGTAGTCTATACATCCATAGCAACACCGCCGTCGCGCCAAAAAGACCAGACGCCACCACCCAAGGTAACCCAATCCAGCCCTCTCCCATATCTAAACCCCTGTTGAAAAAGAAAGTCACTGTCGGACTGGCAATCGTCACTCCGATGCTCTGCAGGATCTCTATCGCCGTATACAGCCGTGCAGTCTGATCTCTATGCACCATGGTGGTGGCCAGGGACCGAACAATAAACACAAACCCGATACCCAACGTCTGCACGATGAGACCGACGATAAAGAGGGATATTGAGGGTGAGATGCCCATGATAAACGTGCCGACGAGGAGGAGGATGACGCTGCCTTTGGCGAGGGTCAAGTCCTTCTGCCGGTAGTGTGTGCCTCGTCGAGATGTTAGGTACCATGATGCGAGCGGGAGTAGGGCGAGGAAGAGAAATACGGTTAGGATTGATTTGAAGGAGTTTAAGAAATTCGCATTCGCAAGGGTCCAGTGGTAGCGTTTGGATATGTATTGTATGAGGAGCCATGATGTGCCGCGGCTCAATCTGTAGACGAGGAATGTGGAAAGGAGAAATATGAGGTGTTTATCCTGGATAATGAAGCTGAACTGAGATCCCATCCGCCTGAGTTGTGAGGCCGGACGTGGCTTTTTAGCGAATGATAGCATACCGGCATTGCGCTGCTCAGGCGAAAAATAGATAGGCCCATCGTTGATAGGTGATGATGGTTCAGAAAGCTCATGAGCGAGTTCCTTCTCCGATGTGAATGTCCCTTTCGTTTCTGGTAGTAGTACGGCTGGAAGGATTCCAATCATGGTAAAGCTCCATCCTATGACCATCGGAATCCAGGGACTGTACTTCATGAGCCACGAGGTAAAGAGTGAAGAGATGAAGTCGGCCAGCATTATTGAGACGCCGAATTTGAAGAAAAGAGCAGCCCTTTTTATATCAATAAGTTAGAAGTATAATTTCCGCCGTTTGTGCTATGACTGGCAGGGACAAAAACCTTTGGGATTCAGCAGTAACATCCGCCATCATCGTCCATACCATTGTGCTAGCAACAGCAAAACCACCTCCAAACATCCAGGCTAAGGTAGATAGCCAAACCATACGTAACGGAAACGTATCCGACGCGTATAATATTACGCCTGTAACCATCATGTTCAGGACAAACCCAGGAATGCAAATGCAAAATATTGGTTTCCGGCCGTATTTGTCTGCCAATAGGCCATACGGTACCGAAAGAAGCACACCTATTACCCAGTTATTATATGGAACATTTTTAGGTCCGGAAACCAATGACCGTACCAGCCATCGCGTCAAAAAGCTCTCCATAACCCTTCACAATTGCGACTTCACCCTGAATCTCCTTATTCTTGCATAATTCCTCAGGAATGTTTCCATTCTTCCCTATTATTGCAGGGTCGTGCTCCTTATAGTACTGTAGGCAAGTTATCGATTCGAACATGCGTGTCATGGGGGCAGCGAGCATGGATCCGCCAGTCTCGAAGGCAAGCACAATAGCAAAAAGAGCGATAGTGAGCCGCATGCGAATTTTCCGCCGGGCGCTATTGATGCCATCTGGGTTTTGGCTTGAAGTAACCGATGACTGATCCAAAGAAGGCGACTTTGGCAGGAACGGGACATCTTCAACATCGTTTTCAAGGCTGTCTTGTTGTTGGAGTAGCATATCGAGTTGGCAAATGATCAGAAACTCCGGAGCCTGTAGCCGTCCGATATAGAACTACGTGTGAAGCGATACAAGCAGTCTGGGAGACATCACTCCGTCGAGGATTAGAGACTGAACAATCGATCAAGGTATTTATTTCGCTTTCACGGGTATTTGAGGCTGGGAATGGTCTGCCAGATCCGCACCAGGCGTGTTCCTTTTTATGCGGAGTTTTGAGACGGATCTGCAAGGTCTCGTTTGGGCAGCGTCGATGGTGGCTGCGTCAGCGCCTGCCGTGTGCCAGGAATCACTAGATCAGCCCTGGATTGTCGCACCAGAACTGTCAATAATGATTGGATCCATACGACCCTTTCTGAACGTTGGCCACAGCAGTGGCCCACGTAAAAGCGGGCTGCCATTTTATTGGTAGGCAGACAACGATAGCAGCCAATGATTTCGTATGTGGAATTCGTTATTTTATTATCGAAGATGTTCTGGCGGGCTGAGTTCCGTGGTTCGCTCCTGCAGAAGAAGTAAACATTCAAAGCGGCCCAGCGCATATGATTGACGATGCATGAAGAGGCAGAAGAATCGTTGTCCCGAATACGAGGCTATGATCAACACTCAGTCCGAGCCAGCCCAGTCTCGAAGGGATCTTGGCAGCATCGAGCCCATATTACAGCGTAGACGGGGACAACCAACTCCGACTCCAACGAAGAGAGGAATAACAAAGTTAGGCGAAGAAGCCCCTGAATCTGGTGCAAGCACGCTGCACAATGGTGTTGAAAGGAAATTATTGGCTCGTCTCTGTCGAAGTTTTATATAAAACTCGCCGCCTTAAAATTCACAGGCAGCCCAAGGGCCACCTACCCTTCTACCTTAGCAAGAAGTACAGAGTGCAGTATCGACATGGTGTTTTCAATTTATAAGCTATCCATCCCTGTCGTTAGTGTAGGCTACTGGGGCAAAAGAGCTCGATCACCACCAGCGCACTGCTGGTAGAAGGGCCGACCAACCGCGGGACCCCCAACACCCCCCCTCGGACCAGCTACCACAGAGTACAGTACTTCCCCTCAGTGGCTCCCTTCAGTGGCCTCCCCACAATGGCTCCTTTTTAATAATGGACTCAGTCAGTCCTAGGGCTCACGGGACTTCTAGGGCACACTCCTGGGATGTCTCTTGGCACTGTTAAAATGTCCAGGGTATTTGTTAGGAATTTTTAAGTCCATTCTGGGATCGAACCCATGCATGTTGATCACAGCGGGGCTCACGCTTAACGGTCTCATAACCTGTAGGCTACTGGGGCAAAAGAGCTCGATCACCACCAGCGCACTGCTGGTAGAAGGGCCGACCAACCGCGGGACCCCCAACAGTTAGCTGGATGGATGCTGAGATCTGACTCAGAAATTAGTCATTGTGTTCGTCGAGTCTGCTTCAAACACCACCTACTAAATAATTGTGCTTAATCGCACGTTCACGCATCCGTCATTTGCACCCAGGTGGCTGGCACAGGCAGGATTGCTGAGGACTCATACTCCTCCGTCCTTTGCCTCTTTTGTGGCACGTAGAGCGGCTCACCGGCCCTTTTCGTGGCCTCAACTTCGGATTTGATCAAGTCTTCTGCCTCCAGAATGGGAGTTTCCTGCAGCCCCTTGGAGCTATCCGCTGGGATCCAGCCCAGGGAAACAAGGTAGCTAAGCTGATCCTCTGTAGACTTGATCTTGTCCCGCTGAGTTTCAATTTGGACCTGCAGCGCGCTTATTTCAGCATTCTTTGCCTCTAGAGCCTTGTTCAAGTCATCGACTTTTGCTCTCAACGGATTCGGCCCTAGCGCTCTGCGAGGGCTTGCCGCCTCCGCTTTGGCGTTGCTGAGAGCAACCCTGGTCTTCTGTAGGTCCTCTTCCAGACTCTTGATCCGTTGGGTGGACCGGATTTTGTCCGTGACATTGTCACGGTCCCCTTTCTCGAGAACTTGCACCCGCGCGCGAAGTTTCTCGATATGCTGTCTGGTCAAATCGTCTGTCGGAGCCTGGGTGAGCTGGCTCAGTTTCTGCATCAGATGATTGATTTGTGCTCGACATTCAACCACTTTTGCGTTAGCGTCCGCGAGCACAGATGAGGTTGCCTGGTGCCCTTGGACCCTTGCGCGCAGTTTCTGACACTCCGCATCGAGGGCTCGGCCAGCGGACTGGAGTTGGTCAATCTGCTGCTTGTACTCGAAATCCTTGCTGAACAAGGCTGTCTGATACTGTGCAATCAGATTGTCTTTCGCTTGCCGTTGCTGCTCTAGAGACTGGGCGTTCTCGAGCTCCATGTTCCGCAGCAGTCCATGAACATGGGCAAGCTCGGCACTGAGGGCTTCCTCTCGAGTAGCGGAGCTGGCCAGCTGTTGTTGAAGTTGAGCGAGCTCAGCTCCAGTAACTCGTGTTTGAGTCTGGGCGTTGGCGGCGACATGAAGGGCTCCAAAGGAGCGCCGGGCTTCGTGAAGCTCGCCCTCCATCCTGAGGAGTGCCCGGCCTTTTTCCTGGACCTCATATGTATGAGTTATGATTTCCTGGTTCTTGGCCTCGAGTTCTTGGCGAAGGTCCGCGATTTCCTTCTCCTTCCCTGCTCTGACTTCTTCACCGTGCCGTCTCGCTGCTCGGATCTCCACCTTGAGCTCTTGAGTTTGGCTCGAGTGTGTGGTGACGACCATGTTGTGCGTCTCATTGAGTGACGCCACGGAAAGAGCGTGCGCGCTACGTTCACCTTCCAGGAGGCCAATCATAGCGGCAGTCTCAACACGTTGCGCTTCAAGATCAGCAACAACTGTGGCAAGTTGTTGTCTCACCGCATCAAGCTCAGTGTTCGTCGCCAGGTTGTCGTTCGGGTCGCAATGCATGTACGCTGGGCTGGTTCGGTTACGAGTGAATTGATATGGCGGCGCGCACTCTCGAGATCTCTCTTGAGGGCGGCCGTTTTTCTTGATAGCGGCAATTTGCTCGTCACATCTGGTGTTCCGAACCGCGTAAGCCTTGATCGTTGCCTCCCTAAGCAGGTAGGGTAATTTGTTCTTGAGGGTTTGCTGCATGACTTCTAGCCTTGCCTTGCGGGCCGACGAACTCAAATTGTCCACATTGCACTTCTCAGCGATCTTGTCGAAATCGTGGATGTACTTGTGCAGGCTCGGTTCTAAATTTATGTTCCCCGCAAGGGTCCTGAGAGCGCTGTACATGTCTTCTGCAATCTTCACTTTCATCTGTTCCTGTCCCAGCTGCTCTCGCGCCAACTTGAGGGAGGAAGTTAAATTGAGCGTGTCTTGCTGCTTGATTGACTTTGCCAGCTTCTCGGTAAGATATTCTCGTCGCGACCGCTCTCTTGAGTTCTCCAGCTGCAGATCCGCGCGGTCCTTCATGAGTCTGGCGAGTACTCTGTCCTTATTCCAGCTTTTTCCCTCAAGAGCCCTAATCATGGACGTAGAGTCGAGGTTGCAAACTTCAAGTTCCCTAATTCGGCTCTTTAACTGGTCAATCATCAAAGTGCGCTGACTGGCGCTCGTTCGATTCCCAATTGTCCCGTTTCTGGCGGGGATCACACCACTTGCCCTCCCGGCCTTCTTCGGGGTTGGGTTCTCTGCAACCTTCATTGCTGCCAGGTCGGCTTTCCGGACAATGACATAGTCAAAGTCCTTCAGGCTAATGACAGTGTAGAGGATGAAGGTAGGCAGGAACGCCAGCGCCACCAAGGACACGAAGAGGGCAAGGTGGAACATTTCCAATGACTATGTTTTCGCGCCGTCTCATTAGTTTCGTGCGCCTTTTTTCTAAAAAAGAAAGAAAGAAAGAACGAAAGAGAAAAAAGAAAAAATCTAACAAAATCTAACATGTGAAAATCAAGGTAACTTACATAGAGCTTTTGCTCTATCCATTCTTTCCATTCAGTCCGCGTGACGAATCCGGACAGCGCTCCAGAACAGTAAAGGTTCTGCAGTCGGTCATCATGCCACCTATGTTTCTCCACGGGAGCGTAAATGCCAGTTATGACATAGTCACAACTAGAAATACGCAACTCGGAATCGTTGGCGATCCCGGCAAGAAGGCCTGAAAGATAGGCGCAGGCTGGTGCACCGAATTTGATGTACCCGCAATATAGCATGAAGGGCGGCTAGCCTTACGGTTAGCAGGCCATAGTACCCAGCTACAAAGGAGGGGGAAAGAATGAATAACACCCACAAATAGCGTTCTGAAAGATATTACCTGTCCGCTGGGCGAAATCCAGCGGTAGAGACGGTATGCCCAGGTCTGACGGAACGCAGATACTGCCCGATCCACCGCGAAGCGCGCGGCACCCAGAGCACCGTCTTGCGAGTAAATACGCGAGAGAGTCGTATGCAGAGATGACCACGCAGTCACCATGTGCTTGCCAACTAGGCTGGCGAAGACGATCCTTATCACCTTAGCGACGGTGATGGGGCCCTTGCCAGTGCTCAGCATCTTATGCACGCTGACACATACCGGGATGAAACTGAGCAAGGCCAACGCGACGAAAAGGACCGCACTAAAGACCAGAGGGCACATCATGGTGGAATCGAGAATCGACTCCGCGGCCAGCAACGGGCTCTCCGAGGTAGTTGTGATGACCGCGGCGGCTGCCGTAGAGGTGCTTGGGCCACCAGAAAGGTTACCCACAAGCAACACCAGGCACAGCACCGTCAGGGGAAACATTGTCAAGCTTTCCCTTGGCGTCTCGAGAACTACCGGAAGGTTGATCCCCCTGGGTCGAGGATTCGATCTTTCGAGGTGGGGAAAGGGGGAAAGGGGGCAAAAGACCTATCACATAGACCAACTTTTTTTTCTCCTTTTTTCTTCTCCTGTCACTTCTCGTGGTTTTGTTAACAGAGGAGCACAGCTGATTGGCACTTGACTGCTTGGAGGTCACGAAGATGGAAGTGGAGACTGATGGCGGTACGGTATCACGAAGCCGTCTGGTGGCTCAAGAGCGCTTGTCAGGCGAGAGATAGAGGAGAGGTGTCGAGATGGGGACAGATAGGTAGAAAAAGTTATCACCGTTAGGCTGTGAAGAATGAGAGAAAGAATTCTTATGGGTTTGATGATGAGTGCTTTTTTTTACGAGAGGAAAAAAATGAGAAAGAGAAGAGGAAGAAGGGGAGCTCTGAGTAGAGGGGTGTTTTTATGTTGTGTGTTGTGTTGTTGTGGTGTTGTGTTATTCAACCTTACCCCCCGCGTGAATTCCACAACTGTCTGCTATGAAGTGTTGTTGCTGTAGTGAATGCGATGTTTCTTTGCTCTGCTCGTGGGACAAATTTTAATGAAGTTATAGCAGGACGGTTGAGGAAGAAGTGAAGGAAGTTGATATTTCATATAGACTGGGAGAGGAGATTCCTAGAAGGGTAGAGGTTGGTCAGCCCCTGTATTTCATACATCTCATCTTTCCTGTACTTGATGAAGGGGTTCTTGTTGCTTCACATATGTATATTCTAACAAGAAGGCAGTTGGGTAGGATATTCAACGAATCTTCTCTATGAGGTTCTATCTAAGTATGTGGGACAAACCAAGAGTCTGTTGGTCAAGATAGAAGTGGGAGAAAGATGGTAGACAACATATGTTTCTTGCTTGTTTGTTGTTCACAAGCAAGCAGAAAGTATTTTAAAGAGAAGTGAAATGAGAAATCTCTTCTTATAGTTAGTTGTTTTGTTTGTATTCTGGAAACTCCCTATTTCATATATTTTCTTATTTGTTAGTTGAACTAGACGGGCTTTTCCTTGAAATGTTCTTCTTGTTGTTAAACAATAGAAATCTTAAAAATCATGAAACCCAAAAATGGGCCATTAAATGGTGTCAGTGTGTCAGGCCTCCTTTTCAAAGATCAGTTTAATGAGTGGAAATACTAAAACTATTGTATAGCTGATTTCTTTCAGAAGTGTTGCGAGGGGCCATTGTAGTAGAGCAGTCATTGAGAAACAAGTCTGCATTTCACCTGTTAATTAGCTTTGTATGGATTTATTCATTGCAGTGGTGCTTTCCAGCTCACTGCACCTATACAAGTCCATCAAATAGTAAGCTAATGTTTCAAGAGACTTCACCGTCATCATGCATGTAGTAGTGTTCAGTGGTAAGCACTTTTATATAGATTGCATCAAAGTCTGGATGCGCCGGATAATTTATAGTCCGGAGAAGGCCAGCGCGGTCCTTGCTGACATAAGCTGACAGAACCTTTGCTGCATGCCAAGACTCCTATGATCACATCGCGACCGAGATCGGCGCCTGGGGTTCCTTTTTTCCCTTGTTCCAAACCTCCCGCTCCAACCCCTGTCGACGTCGACCTATTCTCGTGGATTTGGATATCCGGCTGTTTTCAGACACATTTCCTTATACTCTCTTTCTTTAAGGAATTCGATACGCACTGTTGCGTGACCTGATATAACTTGTTTCATCGAGGTACGTCCAGCCAGCCGCAGTTCATAGGTACTAAACTACGTACAGATCTGTACATACCTTCCATGCGTATTAACCACTTGTCTCAAAGGGTTCTCCTATGTATCCGAACCAGCATGTGGCCGGACGATCTGTAGCGCTGGTGGTTGCCAAACTGCTTCTCGCAGCGGCACAGCTTCCTACCATCTCTGCCTTTCCCATCCTGAGCTCCCTCCAACTCCATACCCAGGATGATGGCAAAGCTCCCGATGATCCCAGCCTGTGGCTATATCTCTCGATAGCTGCGGCCCTGGTGATTAGTGGTGGTGCTTTCGCTGGGTTAACAATTGCCCTTATGGGTCAGGTATTGCGCCCGCTGGTTTCCCTCTTTTACTCCTTTTGCGCCACCGTAAAATACTCATGCTAATTTTTCTTCCATACACCAGGATGAAGTCTACCTCCAGGTCATAAAAACTTCAGGCGAAGGCGCTGAAAAGAAACATGCCGAGAAGGTATTGAAGCTCTTGAAGCGGGGTAAACACTGGGTTTTGGTTACGTTATTGCTTAGCAACGTCATCACCAATGAAACGCTCCCTATTATCCTTGATCGGTCATTGGGAGGCGGCTGGCCAGCTGTATTGGGCAGTACAGCACTCATCGGTATGTGCCCTGCTTTCCCCATATACTTCTATTGCTTGGTCCTGACGCTGGTGTAGTCGTTTTTGGCGAGGTCGTTCCCCAGTCGATCTGTGTCCGTTATGGTTTACCCATCGGAGCATGGATGGCGCCTTGCGTTCTATTTCTGATGTATATCACGTCACCGATTTCATGGCCCATCGCCAAGTTGCTTGATAGAATTTTGGGCGAAGATCACGGAACTGTATATAAAAAAGCTGGGTTGAAGACTCTGGTTACGTTGCATAAAAATCTGGGACAGGCTGGAGAACAGCTCAACTCTGATGAGGTTACCATTATTACTGCTGTCCTTGACCTCAAAGAGAAGTCTGTGGGCAGCATTATGATTCCAATGGAAGACGTTTTCACTATTCCCGCCGACACAGTGTTGGATGAAAAGATGATGGATTTAATCTTGTCCCAGGGATACTCCCGAATTCCGATACATGCGCCGGATGAGCCACATAATTTTGTTGGCATGTTGCTGGTGAAGATGCTCATTACCTATGATCCAGAAGACTGCAAGCTAGTGAGAGATTTTGCGCTTGCAACGCTGCCAGAAACTCGTGCTGAAACTAGCTGTCTGGATATTGTCAACTTTTTCCAAGAAGGAAAGTCTCATATGGTTCTAGTTTCAGAATATCCCGGTGAAGATCACGGAGCACTGGGAGTAGTTACCCTCGAGGATGTCATCGAGGAGCTGATTGGAGAGTACGTGTAAATAACCCTGGTGCCGAGGAATGTCTAACTAATACTCGATAGGGAAATCATCGACGAGTCCGATGTCTTCATTGATGTACATAAAGCTATACGTCGTATGGCCCCCGCACCCAAGTCCCGCGTTCCGAAAGGCCAAATTGTTGCAGAACCCCCGCATATGCATGGCAATCTTATAGACTTGTCCGACAATCATGTAGCGCACGCAGAGCCTACGACCAGCGACACACTTCCCCGCAGACATTCTGCAGCGGATTATAGCTCACCACCACAGACCTCATTCTATTTCCGAAAGTCAGGTACCTTTGACAACGCCGACTCAGTAGAGGCTCCGATTATCAAACGGGGTCCAACTCCGGAAATCCGTGAACATTTGAAGCACCTAGGCCCTTCGAATCTCGCCAGTCGCCCACGGCAAACAAGATACCAGGCAGTTAAAATTAAGCCGGGCGAAGCGACCAGCTCGGATCGCCAATCTACAATCTCCCAACCCCGACCATCGGAAACTAGTAGTGCTCTAACAACACGACCCCCATCTCAGGTCCGTTCGGCAGGGAAGACTGCAAGCGATGCCGTCCTGGCCGTGCAAGCCTCCTATGGCACAATGGGGAAAGCAACCGATTCCACCCAACCCACAGAGACGATAGACGAAGTCAGTACCCACAGTTCGAGCCCGCGACATGACCGTAGCACCCTGAACCTGACTACTCCTAAATCTGAGAACGTAATCGCATCTCGAACCCCCAGCACCCACTCACACCGCAGCGGGCCAAACAGCGCCGGTTCGTTGGAAGCGCAAAAGGCCCGCGACCATCGTCGCCAACATGGCCCGGCTCGCAGCGGCAGCATCACAGAGCAGGTCGTCGATAGCAACGGAATCCGCAAGGTGATTCTGCATACGAGTAGTGATGGCACAACTGATGAAGACGGGGTGCCTGTTGTCTCCCCTGGCCCCGATCGAGCGCATACAACACAAGCTCTTACTTCCGCAAGTGGTAATGAAGCCTTGCCGGCCGATAATGGTGGCGATTATGATGATGATGGCGGTCATGTTGTGAAGAAGAAACGTCGTAGAAAGCGGAAGGGCGGAGGTGGTTCCAAATCTACGGATCAGGGCGATGATGATGAAACGCAACGTCTGCTTCTCTGATTAATGTATCTTACGTTGGCGTACTATTTTCTTTCGATTTTGGAGCTTTTAGCAGGACCACTGGATCGCCTGTCACTTTGAAGTGAATTTCCTCCTTCATGTATGAAGATTGATTACATCTCGATGAGGATCTTGTACCGTATGTCCTTTTTCTTCTTCTTATCTCTGTTTTTCTTCACCTTTGTTTTTTTAACCCCGGCTACATAAATAATAACGAGGTCTTCGTTGACTATTTTATGGGTAATATGACCGCGTCCTTTTGTAGGGAACTTGCCTCTATTTACATTTCATTTTCCCTAGTGCTGTTGTGGCATTTGCGAATGGACGTTAATTATATACTACTGTTATGTGAGGATGGAAATGTAGAATTATTCCCACTTGTGGTATCTGATATGAAAAGTTTTTAAATTGTAAGCTGCTACCTGTATCATAGGCTTGAGATGAAGCAACGATCAGCTCGCCTCAATTCGAAATTCATTAGTTACAGTTATCTATCGTTCGTGGACCTGATTAACAGAGTATGTACTGTACATTACATCGAGCTGCCAAAGTGTCCAACTACAGCGCGAAAAAAGAAAAAAAAAAAAAAAAAGAGGAGTATGTGACGTGAGAAGATCAGGAATATCAACCGCACGCAATCCATTCAGACCGATTACTGGAGGAGATGATCCTGCAATTGAGAGTTAAGAGTTAGTAAATGAACGAACATGGTGTGAAATCTGAAACATGAGCTGGGATGACTTACCCTGAAGTGCTTCTGGAAATTACCCCTCTTATGAAGGCCCCATTCATATTGCTTCTTCGCTTTCTGTTCACTCCGTGTCTCTCTAACCTCCGCTGCCTTGACCCACCGCTTCTGGCTATCGCTCGCACCAATCATACCAAGACCGCCCTCCGCTCTCGTAACAAGTGACTGGTTTCTCCTGACGCTAGCGTCATTGTCGTGTACGTCCGGATTCTGTGCAGCGTCCGTAATTGTCCGCTGGCGTAAAAGACGTTCCTCCGGAGTTGGATAGTTCCGTAGATTCTGTCGGAAGTATTTGAACAGAGAGCGATGTCCTGCCGTCCGTCCAGATGGAAGATGTAGCTCGTAATCAGTATACAGCGCATCCCTGTCGTCAAATGATGATACTGAGCTCTCCGTTTCCCACCCCTCCTCATCGTTGATATCCTTGGCATCACTAGTGGGAGATCCCGTTGCGGACGTTGATCCATCCTCGTCGTCAGAATAGGTGCTGGAAAAGTCGTAAAATTGCCCCACTTCGAGCATCTCGTCCTCCGTACTGAACGCAATCATGCAATGCCCCTTATCCCGCATGTGTGTCTGAATCGCTGCGGCGCTTGACTTGATCTTATGGCAGTATAGACACTCGTTGTTCTTTGTTATTTTGTCGAAGAGATATTTCAACAGCCCCTCGCCATCCATCAGGTATCCTTGCTCAGGCACAAACATCCCGTGGAACTTCCTCATGTGGAGGACATTTTGTTTCACACTTGCTGAATTGTGGTTGCAAAACATGCAGTGGGTTAACGCATAGTCCTCATCATACTCGGGTTCAGTGCCACTTGGTGACGCCTGACGAGCTCCAGCAACTGAAGAATGAGTTGGCCTGGATGGACGCTTCGATAATGGATCCTCGCTATCGATGGTGGTATCTTTCATTGCGTCCACGATCTTGGAGAATTCAGCCTCTGCGGCGGATTCCTGGATGGAAGTGGCAGGGGGAGCAGCGGCGGGCTCCCCTGTATTGATCGGTTCTCCCAGAGAAAATGTGCCACTCATCACGGAAGCAGTTTCATCCTGAAGGGCTCCGCTTTTCCGCAGTTGCGCTTCCCTCGACCTATGTTTCTGGCTGGCCATATGATTCAAGAAGGCATTTTCACTGAAGAATGTTTTCTGGCAGGCTGCACATGTTTTTTCGAAGGAGGCTTTGGCTGCAGCGGCAGAATTCGCTGCCTGAGCCGTAAGGACTTTCTCAGCAAATATCTCAGAAGACAGTGGGGGAAGAGATGCGACTCGACGCTTTAAATTATATCGACTACACAAGAGGTATTAACATATATCGGATTTACGATAGGGAACAGGGACAGAATATATACGTACTGCCAATCACTCCGCATATGGGTTCTCTGGGCATCGCTGTTTCTGAAAGCAACCTGGCATGTATTGCAAGTAAACGGATGCGTAGCTGCTATATTCAGAGACCCATCAGAGGTGAGTTCTCCGCTGTGTCCGGCGACTGCGGGGGTCATATTTCCAGCGTTTAACAATATTGAATCTCTTGTGACAGGTCTTGCTAATCAAAAAGTTTCTTGGGGGGGGGGGGGGGGGGCGCCTTTGCGAAAGCAAATATGTTTGATTCTAAAGAGTTGAATGTACCCTGGTTTGCGGATGTCTTGTCTCTCTCGGTGTCGAGTTTCAAATCAAGTTGCGTTGAATACTTTTCAAACAAAATAAATCTCGGCTGTTGTGGCTAATGACGTTGTTTTTGGGCGGGGTGACAGTACAGTACAATACGCAGAGCATCGCTGGATGTGGCGCTAGCCTCTTGGCGGTTCTGTCATCCTGTGACGCCAGAGCCTCTTTCTTCTCTTTGCTATCAGGCATCTTCTGGGCCTCATCCAAGGCGTTTTTTTTTTTACCACAACATTTACCCGCCTTCTGCTGCATACTTTCGTATCATTATCGCATTCAGATATGATACACACTGCTACACCATGACCAGGCTTCGGGGAGGCTCTGGGAGCCCGCCAGACTCGGGGCGATCCGCGTCCGTTGGAGACAGGGGACTCTACCATCCATCGAAGCTCCCCGCCGACGCCCCGGAGCTGCTGGCCAAAAATACTATCGCTGTGACAGATCCCGCAGGAGTCTTAGCATGGAATAGAGACAAGCGTCAGAGAGATTTCAATCTCCTTGTTAAACGGTTTGTTTGTTCGACACAGACATTTGCCATCCTAGCTATTTGCTTACGGCTTCTATTTTAGGTATAAAAACCAGCTCCTCTACGGCTGCCAGGACCCGTTCTGCGCCACCCCTACATGTTTTAGCTATCGCAGGAGAGTTACGGATGCGCCTCTTCGCAGGTTTACCGAACTGAGTGCGCGAACAGTTGCCTGCTACTTAGCTAGCCAGGATAACCCGGAGAGAGGTTTGTGTCGTAATACCCCGGCCACCAACACCGACTTCCTCTCAGGAGATGGGATCCGACGACACAGGAGACGGTCATGTGAAGTGTCCCAACAAAGTGTTAAGTTCTCCTCTGACGCTCAAGGCCACAATAACGCGGAGGATAATGGCGCCCAAGAGAAGCCAGCGGGTGATACATTACACCAGCAACATCGCGGGAATAATAGGACTACAAAATCTACCGAAGCGAACGAGAAGCCGGGCCCACCACAAAGCGAAGACGGCAAAAGTTCGCAGCGATTAAAAGATCCGAAATCGTTTACTCAAAATCTTTTCGACACTCTTTCCTTGCGCATGGTGGAGTGGCTACCTCTGCGACGATCTCACGAGGCATTCGATACAGTCTCGTCTGACCCCAACGATTATGGTAGCTCGCCATCCAAGCCTCCCGGAACTGAAACACCAGGTAGAAGCCAAGAGCATCCAAGTAACCCAAAACGAAATAGTCGACAGAAGCAGGTCGTTTCGCATCCTAATATTAAGTCCCGCCCTCAAACTATTACATCTTCCAATCCTAATCCACAACCGACGGCGGTTGAGGTAAAGATCCCCGGACAACCTGTAAAGCGCCTGTCCCTTGGTGAAATGGAGCACCGGAAACAGCCTTCGAAAGCCTTTGCCGAGGACAGGGTACGCTCTGAACGCAAACAACCCCGAAAGGCTTCATCGCATAACACTCCGTCAAACCAACCTAATCGATCCTTACAGTCTCCGCCACCTTTAAAGCAACGACCACAGAAACATAAAAATGCAAGTGATGTGAGCAACACTTCGAAGCCAGAGCAGAAGCGGCATAGGCGCGTCTCGTGGGATGGGTCCCACGGCCCAAGGAAATCGGAAAGCGCTGAGTGCGACAGCAGCCGGGTATCGATAGACTACAGTATACAACACTCACAGTCTCCAACCGAAAGCCCGGAAATTCCAGTATCCAGAGATGCCAACAACGGCAAACTATTTATACCTCAACAAATCCAGACCCTATCTCACTTATCAGAGCAGATAGTGACTGGACTAGCGAAGTTAATGTTTGAAAACGACGAAGATAGAGACAAGTGGATCGAAGAAATGTCAGAATTGGAGTCTCGCGGATATTCTGAACCTTGGGATTGGCAGTATGCAACTCCCCGCCAGCGTGAGGTGTTCCCATTTGTTGTGCAGAGTGTGTTTTATGTTCTAAGCAGTCCTCGTCAACTTGTTCAATCCTTCCGGAAGGATTCCCCAACCTCAGCGGAAAGTGACCGTCGGGAGAACGCGAACACACTGGATATCGAACAAGTAGAAAACTCTTTTCGTGTCCTGCATCGAATATGTCCGTGGGAAACCACATTGCATAGCTTGTGGACTTCTCTCGCGAAGCTTTTTGTTCCACCACGGGAATTTTCCTTGCCCAGGCCACATATGCTCCCTGTCCGATGGGTCGCTTCTTCGTCCCGCGCTGTTTCGAAACATGGGTTTTTTCCACCCTGTAATACCGACACTCCTGAAGATTACATTTCTGATAGCGATGCCGCTTACATTTCGGTTATCACGCTACTAGCTTTATCAAGCTTCATCCCGCAAACTGACCCGAAAACATGGGAGATCATTCGCCATATCCGCTCTTCCGGTACCGTTTTACCTGACTCTGAGATGAGAAAGCATCCTCGGTCTACTAGGAGATCATTAGTGGCCATCTCAGAAATGTTTGAGCATGACCTCGCGCTCCGATTAGTAAATCGCCTGGTTCGGGTGGTCTCTGCGCGTATGGCCTTCCACGAAATTTCTAAGACCCGAACCATTAACATCCACGATATTGAGCGACAAGAGAAACATGACTTTACGAGGCTGATCATACGAACTCTCCGTGACTTCTCCAAGACCAATGAAAAATCTTCACAAACATCCTATTCCTTTCTACACGACGAGCGACCTACCAATCCCCATATGGTAGCTGTGGAATGGCTACGGAGCCTCTTGCTGAAGGAATGGGACGGCAAACCCGAAATGGCCAAGTCCGGTGCCTTTGGGGGCGCTTTGCAACTCCTTGCATCAATGTATAAAGAACGCTTTAGACTTGGTTTAGAGCCTGAAGACTTCCATACATCTTTCCTCTCCGAGCGGTTAGACCCGACGGAAATGCCTGTTGAATGGCTCGGAATCCTCCCAAATAACCGAACAGTGCATCTCTTATCCTATCCCTTCTTATTTCCTCCGTCCGCCTTGGTGATATATTTCCGGGCTATTAACTATTCTAACATGTCCAAGTCATATGAAGCCGCAATGACTACCTCACGACATGTTACTCAGCCGGCATTCTCGAGTATCATACCGATAGATGATGATGTTAGTCTGCTTGCAAGATTGAAAACATCCATTTCGACATATCTGGTTCTAGTTGTACGCCGTGATAATGTCCTTACCGACGCTCTCAATCAATTGTGGCGACGAGAAAGACGTGAGCTAATGCGACCCCTTAAAGTTCAAATGGGTATGGACGAAGGGGAAGAAGGTATCGATCACGGTGGTGTGCAGCAAGAGTTTTTCCGCGTAGCTCTTGGAGAGGCATTGGACCCATCATACGGGATGTTTACGATGGACATGCGAACTCGCATGTCTTGGTTTCAGCCGTGTTCGATGGAACCGCTGTACAAGTTCGAGTTATTAGGGCTATTGATGTCCCTTGCTGTTTATAACGGTTTGACCCTTCCGGTTAACTTTCCAGTTGCGTTGTATAAGAAACTACTAGGATTGAGAGTTAAAAATCTCGATGATATCCGAGTCGGTTGGCCAGAGCTTGCCAAGGGCTTGGATGACCTATTATCATGGGATGATGGAGATGTTGGCGACATCTTCATGAGGACTTATGAGTTTAGTTTTGATGCGTTTGGAACCTTCGTGTCTGTCGACATGGAGAAAGTTGATCGCAATGAACCATGGCCTGCCCCTGAACGGTCAGCCTGGGAACGGAAAAAGAGCGGATCGTATTACCGACAATCATGGTCAGGGAAAACAAGTCACCCTGGGAGTTTTGATGATAATACGTCAATGCTCCGTGAATCGGCCGATGAAAATTCCACATCGAAGAGAGACGGGGTGCTCTCTGGGATACTGAAAGGGGCTTCTTCAAGAACTTACAAAGCTACACCACCTTCGCCTCCACAAGAAGCCGCTTTGGTCACGAACGCGAATCGAGAACGATTTGTCAAGGACTATATCTTCTGGCTGACAGACAAATCCGTCCGCCCGCAATATGAGGCATTCGCCCGAGGCTTTTATACCTGTCTAGATCGAACGGCGCTATCAATATTTACACCGGAAGCATTGAAAACTGTCATCGAAGGGATCCAGGAGATTGACATTGAAGAGCTCGAGCACAATGCCCGGTACGAAGGCGGCTTCGAACCTAATCATCGTGTGATCTCCGACTTTTGGTCCATAGTGAAGCGATACCCGCAGACAAGGAAACGTCAGCTGCTGGAGTTCGTCACGGCTAGCGATCGAGTGCCGGTCAACGGCATTTCTAGTATCATGTTCGTGATTCAGAGGAATGGTACTGGGGATAACGTACGTAACTTACTAACCCTTAACAATTTTATAATAACTGGGCTTGGCTTGTGTGCAGGAAGCTAACCAATGATACAGCGCCTTCCGACGAGCCTAACATGCTTTGGCAGGCTCCTGCTCCCGGAGTATTCCAACCGAGCCATTCTCGAGGAAAAGTTGGAAAAAGCTCTTGAGAACGCAAGAGGATTTGGGGTCGCCTAATGTATGGTGAGATGCATGGACTGATTTCTTTCCTGGCATTGATTTCCAACGAATTCCTCATGTCCTTTTGATTGCACGGGCCTAAAGACGTTCTTGATTTTTGACATCTACTCCATGCAACTGCGTCTCTTTTACTCTATATACCTTTTGACATGCAAGCGAGGCAAATACCTACCTTTCGACACGTTATGTTTTATTAGTGCTCTTTCCCTCTTGCACGTTTTTATACCTAATTTTTGTTGCTTTTGAGGCTACGGTTATTAAGAGAACGAAAGGAGGGATATCAGGTTTGGTAGACCCGGCTGGGTGTTGGGATATATTTCTTCTTTGCGAGGCGAGTGTGACTGCTTCCGGGTTTCTTTGTTAACAATTTGCTCTTCTCGACATGCCAAGCGAAGATTTATTCATACAAGATATATACGTTGATTTTGCGGGCTTTGGAAATACTCAGTTGTCATTGTCGCAATCAGAACATACCGAGCGCTCACCGAAAGACTATGCCCGCCCTTTTCAACCGCCATGTAATAAATCCTCCATGCCATTGGTTAGATCTAGTGGGGGGGTGGCCAAAGCCCAAAACTTGCCCCACGGTTATTATGACTAACTTTACGTTTCGCCGTCGCAAAGTCAAGAGTCTTTCCAATATAGACAATGAATTCAATTTACTGTTGTGACATCTTATATTATTCAGTATACATTCATTCATTCATTCATTCATTCATTATTTATCCAATACGCATTTAGACGAAGAATATACTGCATTTAACTGAAGGCTTTTTCCTACTACAGTACATACATACATACCTACCCCGCGCTTCACCAGCCTGGAACATTTGCCGCGGTATCGGACACTGTTATTTTCGCCTCGAAATCCCCTTTTGTATATATCATAGATCTGGAGATGTCACCAATCATTCACTGTGTCCGTCATGCACAGGTTAGTCCCCCCGTCTGCTCTACATCCTACATCCCCAATCTCTCCACTGACGGCGGGATCTCCAGGGCTTTCATAACCTCAGCCACGCCAACCACATCATCCCGGACCCCCTCCTAACCCCACACGGCGAATCGCAATGTAGAGACCTCAGCGCGGAATTCCCGCACCACTCCCAGATCGACCTCGTCGTTGCCTCCCCTCTCCGACGCACGATATACACCGCGTTACTAGCATTTGAAGATCAAATTAAGAATAAGGGATTGACGATCATTGCGCTGCCAGAGATCCAAGAGACGAGCGACGTGCCATGCGATGTTGGCAGTGACTTGACAGTGCTGCAAAAGGAGGTGGATGATAATGGGCTCCCGGTAGATTTGAAATTAGTAGGGGAGGATTGGAATTCGAAGGTGAGTTAGGGATTCGGATTTGGATGTCCGTTATTTTGCTGTGTCGGATTGGTTTCCGGCCATACAATAGCTGAACAGAGGAACGTGGGCTAATATGACTCCTTTTATTATATGTGTAGAAAGAAAAATGGGCACCTAGTGCTGAGGCGATTGCGAATCGTGCTAGGGAAGCGCGACGTTGGTTAAAAGCTCGACCGGAAAAGGAGATTGTGATTGTAACGCATGGAGGATTTCTACATTATTTCACGGAGGACTGGGAAGATAGCACACTTTACCAAGGTATTTAATCTCACCACTATTTTATCTGCCCTGCCTTGGGATCGATCACCTTTCACCATCTTAATTACTCCTGTGCAAATCCCTACCAAAAAAATAAAAAATAAATAAAAAATCACAAACCAACAAGCTTATGCGTGACCTTTCTTTCGCGGGAAAAAAAGTTACAAACATGAAACCTAGCCCCAGTAACTATACTAATATCCGCCCTTCTCCCACCTACCCAGGCACCGGATGGCGCAATACCGAATACCGCACCTACACCTTCGCCGCCTCCGTGGACCAAGATGATCTATACGGTCGCCCCGTGGACGGCGACAATGCCAGCATCATAGAAACACGAGAGTCACGCACACGCCGTGGGAGACCGGCCGAGGCGCCCTCCCGTGACCTGCAGAAGCAATTCTTCGTTCAGGCTATGACAGGTTGGGAGAATCAGATTTTAGAATTTGCTAAGCAGGAAGCGGCGAAGAAGGGGCCAGCCGGTGTCGATATTGAAGAGAATGCGGGGGAGAAGGTTGTTATAGCAGACGGGGCCGAGGATGTGAGAGTCATTGCTTAGATGATTAAATGTCAGATGCATAGATGAAGGCCATAAATATAGATTTTTCGCGCTGATATTTCACTTCTTCTTCTTCTTCTTCCCCCAGTTTTTTATGGTCCTCGCACCTGGTATTTCATGCTTCGGCTTCCCGGGGACAACATTGCGGCTATTTCCTTTTCGCGGGTGAGAACTGTCTACCAGGCCGCTGCTTCGGCGAGACAGATACATAGATATCTTCACCTAGCACGCTATATAGATTAACTTTGCGGAAAACCAAAAAGTTGCATAGATATTTTGGCGCTGGAATTTCAGCGATCGAAAGACTGTGCTAGTTATTTGTAAGCGGACGATTGAAACTAGTTCAAAGGATTGAGAGTCGGAATGGCCTTCTTCACGCGCAACCAATCTCAGGTACAAACTCTCTCTTAGTACCTTATACTGCACAGTATTCGTCATTCATAATGAATTCGTAACGCACTCGTAATGGAGTGATCAGCCTAGGTTCTATACTGGAAATTCCATGCTTTTCTTGTAGTATTATGCAGCTTGCGCGGCAGAAGGAACGTGTACCGGCATCATCAGCGATTGGAGCTCTGATGCCAATTCACCCTGCATGGATGTCGGTGGGATGTCGCCCTGTTAGTGGCTTGGAACCACCAGATGTTCTGTCCTGTGATTTAAGCTCGATATTACTACCTACTAGATGTGTCTGGCATACTCTTGCTACCACAACATCAAGCCCAAGCACGATTGAGATGATATTGCTATTTCAGGCGGCTTTTGCGAACATACTTCCAAAGCTCTGCAAGAGGACCGCTAGAGAGGTTCGTAACAGGATGGGAAAAGAAATAAATTCCTGGGTAAAGTGCTGCGCTATGAATTTGAAACTTTTCTGAAAAAATCGTTCCTACAATCTCGTGTATTCATGAAGAGAGGCTTACGGGCCTATCCAAAAAATGTTGCTAAAATTAGATTGAGGCCGGTGTTCCCGTAAGAAAGAGACGATCCTTCTCAACAATCCTGCCGCTGGTCGGGAGGTTGTCTTTCATGAGCGCAACGGATGGTCCCTCTACTTACAGCACATGAAATAGAATGTAGCTAGCACAACATTCCTTTGTTCTTGGTATTTTTCCCCCTGATTTCCCCTATCGGAAATGTCCGCAATTGCCGCTGTTCCTGCTCCCTTCCATTTTTCGTCCGTTAGTTCAACGGTCGCTCCACGCGTTCTGGTATGAATCCACAAGGAGAGCTTGGGGGGTTTAAAAGAAAAGTCCGCAGATAATCGGTCTAATTAAAGTTAGGCTTCCGCCTTGCGGCTCAGGCAGGAACGTGGCAGAAGCAGACGCTAAGCCATAAAAAGTACGACTGAATCTTGGCGCCAAGTAGATGACATAAGACACTGACGCATGAGCAAGCCACAGCCAGGTTACAGTTGAACGTGGTGCCAATTTTTGGCCCACTTTTCTGGCCACATCTAAAAATACACAACTCACTATTACTAATCCAGTCTAAATCTCTGTAAATATGAAAAATCAATATTATGATGTGCTGGATTATGTCTACTCGAGCGTAGTGTATGTGCTTTTAATGGGGTACTGCCATGGGTCAAAAGTTGAAATCAGGTTGGAACCACGCCGAGCTGTTTTTCCGGCCCGAGTTGGCACCAACGTTCATGTGTACTGCGTATGCCCCAGCCTTGTTGCAGGTGGGGCGGAATAACTACAGAGCTCTCCAGTAGCAGCTACTACATTATATCCGATGAATCCTCTCTTTTCTCTCGAGTTTCAGGAGAGTACAGAGTCCGCCTATCGTTTGTCTCCCACTTCCAGGACATGGTTTGGCTCACCTAAATTCATTCTCGAACCCAAACATCCAGTTCTATCCCTGAACGCATTTTTGCAATCTTGTTCCTAACTCTCAGAGGAGATCGTCTACAGCTTCCAAGATGCTGGATGAAAATCTGCCAAGTACGATTTCCTATGCTATATTACTGTATTTGGACATAGTGAAGTAGCTAATAAACTCAACAGCCTTCTTCGTCAAGCCCTCTAACGAAAAACCCAAGTTCAACTCTTCCTTCTTTTTCGCGCAACACGGTGCTGAACCTACACCCGCCTATACCCTCCGGCACCTTGATCCCTCGCTACCGGGATCTAAAAACCGCTATGCCGCGGGCATCTATGATCCTTACTCTCCTGATGTCCTCTATGCTGAGGTTCTTTTGATCCCTAAATGGACAAAGCCGTCGTCGTCGCAAGAAGCCATTCGGCAGAACGGTGGAGTTCCCCCCCCTCCAGAACCAATACTACCGAATGTGTTCATTATACAGTTATACAACCCCGATCAGCAGGTCCTTGTTCGCCACAGACCGAAGACATGGAACTCTGCAGCGTCATGGGAGTTTGAAATGCCGCAGCAGACCTTCAGACAACCTTCAAACTCTACCCTCGATCGGACAATGAGCGATCCCGCCGCATCAGATATCACTCCAAAACTAAAATTTATCTGGCGCAAGGATGGGAAGCTCTCAAGGGATCTTAATTGCTATATGTCTGGAAAGAAACTAGATGATAAAAAGAGCAAAGAGCCTGATATAACTATTGCCATCTTACGGGGATTTAAAGAGGTGACTTTATATGAACCAAATCTTTATCGGGTAGAAATTGAAGATTTTAAGGGACTAGAGGTAGTCCTTCTGCTAGGCGCCATTGTCATTCGAGATGTATATTTTGGTCAAATGAGCGAAACTTTTCACATATCCGATCCCCCCAATCCCAATATCACATCTGGTCCAAAGCCCATCTCTTCACAGGAAACAAATCAGTCACAGCCACCTACCAAACCCCAAAGGCCCCAGGTTTCCATCCCAGAACGGCAAACCCGCCCACCCCCAGCTGATCCTCGCACCCAATGGGAAATCGATGCAGAGACTGCCAGATTAAAAAAGGAAGCGGAAGCTGAAGCGAAAGAACGCCGTCGTCGCGAAAAAGAGGCAGAGAAAGAGACAAAACGGCTGCTAGAAGCAGAGCAGCGGGAAGCAAGAAGAAGACAGGCTGCCATCGACCAAGAAACGGAACGCCTCAAGAAAATATACGGCAAAGAGGAAGCGCGGCATAGGCGGCAACACTCACAAAGCCTTCAGGCGCCAAGGCCTAACCTACCCCCGCGACCTGCATCTACCAATCCCAACTCCATTGCGCGCCACCGCTATTCATCCTACATCCCCGCTCCGTCGCACAATTTCGCGCCGCCACAGTTCGGGGCTCAGCGGCCATCTAATCCCCAGCTGAAAGAAAAACGAAGTATTTTCGGACTATTTAAGAAGGACGATGGTCGTCAAAACACGCTAACCAGGAAAAAGAGCTCGATGTTTTAAAGGCTATTTTACGTCTCTTATCTTCTTGGGAGTTCGTTCATTCCTACTGTTGGAGTTTTCACGGTTATTTCCAATACTATGCTCTTCCGGGAAGGAACTGAGAGCTTATACATCTGTCCTTTTTTCTCCATTTCTCCGCACTTCAATGATACCTAAGAAATTTCAATCATCTTTTGTTCCCGCTCAAAATCCGCATGCATATATAAATATGCATTCACGATCGTTAAACCGTACCTCGACCATGAAACAACTTACTTTTCTATCGTTTCTAGGTTTTTGTGTCTTTAATTGTCTTTTCCGTTTCATTTCTCATATTCACCAATTGCATTTGCAGCATCACCTAGCATGCTCGTCATCCTTTATGAATACATTTTGTGGCAGTTTCCTTCTTTTGTTTAAACGGTATATATACATGCTTCCTCTAAATGATCGTCAGGCACCGGTAGAACGAATAATAGTTACAATGTGAAACCATAAGTGCAATTGCCAAACTGCCTTGTAATCTATCAAGTCATAATTTTTGGGGTTCTGGAACCTGACACCAACATTTCTAAGAGATATTTTGATCAAACAATAATCTGAGTCTATCCTCACCAATGACTAGAAGCCATGATACCCGGAACACGTATCGATAGTGCTGGCCGCAGGTTACATACCCTGGCACAAGGTAGGTTGGTGTTGCATGATCGGGCCGAAACATTTTAGCGGCTCCAAGTTAACTACTTAGTTATCTCGGGAAACCGAGGCTTGGCACAACGGCCTCCGCGCCTGTCGCAAACAGCAAGCGCGACATCAAAGTTTCTCTCACACCCCTACACCTACTTTAAGTAGGGTTCGCGCTCTACAAACCCGAGCGCAAACCTAAGTATCATAGAAGGAGAATCAATTGATTCCTCTATTTTCTATCTAGAAGGGAATGATGTGATAAAAAGATACAAAGAGGAGTACATATTCTCTAGAATACATCTATGTGATAGATTTTACACAGAGATGTGTGGGGAGAGGCACATGTACATGTACACATCAGCAATATGAAGCCGTTGCTCTAACTCTAACGCAACTTCCTCCAGCCCTTCGCGGGGCATCACAGTTCACTATGGACTAAGACTGGGCCATTGCGAGGGTAGGGGACTGGAAGCTCTTCAAAGAGGAAGCCGCCGCTCTGTCGTTTGTATTGTCTGGGGGAAGACGAGTTACACGATGTAAACTCTCCCACCTCTAAGGCTTTCAAAAAGACCTAGTGGCCTAGTCAAAAAGAGTGTTCTTCCGATAACATTTTATCGCCGCAGTTTTAATCCACTATGTCTATGATCCACTCTGCATCTGGATTATTGATTCTGTTCTTCTTTCTGACACTTGCTATCGCAAGCAATGTTCCCCCCGTCGATTACGATGTCATCATCGTCGGAGGTGGTCCCGCTGGTCTCAGCGCGTTGAGTGGCTTATCCCGAGTCCGGAGAACGGCGTTGATGGTCGACTCTGGGAAATACCGCAACCTGTTGACAAGACATATGCACGATGTCATTAGCAATGATGGTGTGTAAATGTGAAATGCACATCATTCCTCGCATACCCTTAAAGGGAGTTCGGTTTTGTTGATAGTTTCGTAGGCGTGGATCCGTCATTCTTTCGGCACATAGCCCGCGAACAAATTCAGAGATATCCAACAGCAGAAATGAAAAATGGCACAGTTTTGGAGATTACTCCCGTGAAGTATTCCTCTGATAACCTGCCACACTTTAAGGTAGAGATCGATATGGGCAGCGAAGGATCTTCTTCCCCAGTTACTAAACTGGCGCGAAAAGTTATCCTTGCCACGGGTATGGAAGACGTTCTCCCAGACACTCCTGGTATAAGAGAAGCTTGGAGTCAGGGGATCTATTGGTGTCCCTGGTGTGACGGGTTTGAGCACCGCGACCAGCCCATTGGTATCCTGGGCGATGTGACAAGCACTCTGGACAATATAATGCATATCGCCACGATAAACCACGACATTATGGTTTTCACGAATGGCACGGAGCTTCCAGCAAGTGAGACATATGGGCTCGAAACATACTACGGCATCACATACAACTACTCCCCCATCAAGAACATTACCCGCCTTCAAGACGGTGGAACTCATTTCGATTCTCGGAACCAATCAGAGTTCGACGTTTTCACGGTCCATTTCGAAGGCGGCGCTCAACCTGTGAATCGATCTGCATTCTTCACAGCGTTCGACTCCAAGCAATGCTCCGACCTACCCTACAAGCTGGGGCTGAGAATGGTTAATGGAAAGATTGATAATAATTTTAGGGGGATGGGCACAAGTATGCCGGGTGTATATGCCGTCGGGGATTGTAATAACGACGATAGCACCAATGTTGAACATGCAATGTTCAGTGGGAAGAGAGCTGCAGTTGAAATACATAGTAAGTTTGCTCTCCCCGCTTTTCTCTACTCTGTTATTGTTCTAGGGATGTAGTTTTCGACTTACATTTCCTTGTTCACTTCATTAGTTCTCTTGGAACGCGAAAATGCGACGGCTATGGGCATGACGCTGAGTAAACGTTCTCAACCCTTGAGCATCCGCGAGCTGGAGGAGAGAATTGAAAAGGAAATTGGCAACGAGTTTGAAAGTTTGTGGCGGGCTGGGAGCCGATCTTGATCGGGTAATTATTGATAAGCATGGTCCCACTGTACTATGAGAATGAGACGGAAAGGAAAAAAGGGGGTTAAAAATTAGAGGTAGAGTTATTTTAGATTTTCTTGGGTATGAACGGCGTCCTTTGAATGAAGGTGATAGGTACGCCTAGGCAATCGGAGTGCTTGAATGCAATTACTTGCTCAGATCTCTCAGACCACATAGGATAATTTCTGGGGGGTGTTCACCCCAAAGCCACCCCAAAGCCCGCGATTGCATGAGTAATACTTCCACCTTGGATAAGGAATGTATGTACCTAAAGTGGCTTTGGTAGAATTGAGGATGGAAAATACCTCTCGCGGATCACATGTAGACATGTCACAAAACTTGACATTGAGCAAATTCATCCCCAAACAAGGATGCCCTCATCCTGCAGAGACAACATACAAGCCCTAAATAACACAGTAAATCATAAATGCCAACCTGGTGATATCTTTCCTGTCATATATATACTCAGCTGTCTCGGTAAACCTAGAATATCCCCAAGGAGATATGAATGGAGTACCGCTCGTGGCCGACCTAATGGGTCTAGAGACTTACGGATATGCATCTTGCGTAAATCATCGATCCCTCCCTGCTGAGTGTCCTTTCCTGGACAGCAGTGCTCAAAGCGTCTCTAGTAGTCATTGGTTCAATAGATGGCTAAGCACCCAAAAAGCAGCCGCGTCTTTGACAGCTTTCAGAGGGTGGCAAACATCTATTTTCACGCGAAATGATCTGTTCAGTTTGATATATTTTGCTTCACTTGAAGGGATGGATATAGGGATTTGATTAACATGTTGGAGGCCCGGCCCCGGAAGTTCTTGTGGTTTCTCTCTCCGGTTTTATTTTCTTGAGTTTTCGTCTCAACTAGAGACTCCTTTTTTATTGTAAGAAACAAGGCTGGATTCCGCGTAGGTAGGTAGTCCAGGGTCGAAGTTCCCAGCATTGATGAAATTTTTACATGAGTCGGAAAATTCACGGCCAGGTTTTTAAGAGTTGATGAAATGGGCATGACTTCCTCTTCGCAATGTTTCTGACGTTCATAGTAACTAACTAAACCGTTGCCAGCCTCCAGGCCTAGGGATATTAACCCGGTGCCCGTGACGGAAGCGATATCAGCGGTCACTTTGAGGGTTGGTCAAGGCTTTCGGCCACTGCTAGATTCGGAGCTGAATGCCTGTATGAGAGGAGCAGGTTAGTGAACTTTCGTCCAAGGGAAATATGCAAAAGGCAACGAAAGGCCCATGACAATGAAGTTTCGAAGTTGAAGGAACATCCGTGCTTCAGATGCGACAGCCCACCAAATCTAAGGGCTGACTACAGCTTTGGATCTGAATGACGGCCTCGTTCGTATATGGAAGAATACGGATTATGTATTTCAAAGCTTCGGTTAGTCAAGTATCAAGCCTCAGAGCGCTATACTTGACTCAACAAGACGATATTTTTGTCCTAGGTTGTGTGGATTATATATAGGAGGTATGCGGGCATCCATTCCCTCCGACGCCCTTCAGTGTATCAATGCTAGCGGCTTGCCTGCAGTGTCAGCCAGCTCCCTATGCGTGAGGGAAACTAAAGATGTCAGCAAGATCTTCAGTTTCACAGGATGCTATTCTTGGTGAAGAAACCCCTGACACTGCCGATCAGGGTTCGCTCTGACCAGTGACCAAGCCTACTCCCCTAAAATCTGACACCAGGAAGTGGGTGAGTAAGACGAAAAAAAAGACCCAGAGGACAACTCCCCTACTAAGAATAAAATATTAATGTTCTTTATAATCTATTGAGATACTAAGATACCAGAGTTTCAAGTTCATGATATTCTAAACAATGCGAGTCAAACGCGAAACCGGGGAAAATACGGAGGTGTGGAACTTAATTATTTAAGTCCTTGCAAACACTAGTAATTTAAAGTGGTAAAAAGGGTTACCATCCCTTCTGGACAGTTTGGAGGTGATTATGGTCCCTGCTGATGCCTATGATGTCTATCTCTCTGACTCTCAGCTGGCTGGGCAACTATTGAGTGCTATAAGTGCCTATATACGTAGTAGGGAGGGGCCTGGCCTCCCGAACAATTTGACTCCAAATATTGGGATTTCAAAATAAATTTCTAGCGTGTGCAAGGACTTAACTACGCTGTAAGTTCCACAGATCCAAGGATAACTAGTGGGCGCAAAGGCCGCCAGCTAGTTACTTAAACAAAGGCTGAAATTGCTTCCGACTAGTCAGTCAGTTGAGGATGTCTATTTTCTGCACTCCGTAATAACAATAAGGATTGTGTGATGCAGGATGGGTCTGCGCCGCTACCAATAATAATGGCATCAGCCTGCCACGGATAGATATTGTTCCTGGTTCCTGACAGAGGCAGAACTGGCTCAACTAAATATCTCAGCCAATCAGGGAGATATCTCCGGAAATAAAGAGGCAGCTCGCTGGTCCTCTGAAAGACCAGCATTGTTGATCAACGATGATCAGGATGTCTCCGAGAAAGCAGGATCCAGGTCCCGCAGTCGAGGCCGCAGCATTCCCTGTCCTGATTCTCAACTCACTGTTCGGTGAAGGCTGACAGGTCCAATTTCATAAGATGCTCCTTTTCTGTCCTTTTGTTTTCAGGTCTGAGCAAGCAGTTTCTGTATGGGACAACATGGAGGAATAGTTACCAGTGCAGGTGCGTTTCCATTGTCGCATGCAGCACGACAGATTCTCTCAACCTCCGGCCTAGCACAGCGCACGTGTTTTGGAACAGCATGAAGTATCAATCCCTTGGAGACGCCCGACAGCATTTTTTTACGGCGAGGCGGCATACTCCCAATGACGCACCGTTGGCTTCGTCAAAACGAAAGGCGGATGGATGGCTCTCGCCTATCCTGCCATTCCGGAGGACGGGTAGAAACTATCATTCGGGAAGAGTTTCAGATGAGACAGAGTTGATGTACACAGAAAGGTAAGTCCGGCATAGCGGGTGAACCCCGCCACACGGTTTGGTGTGGTATATATAGAAAGACTGATCGAATTGATGTTATATGAAGAACCGATACTTTGCCAGGATCCATCACCGCTCGATCAAACTCCGTCTATTCCGACTTGAAAACCGCTTATACTAGCAGGCAAAATCCCAATGAGCCAGAAACAAGCCTGGACAAGGCCCAGCACAAGCGAAAATGGATCAGGGGAGCTCTTATATGTGCTTACTCTGCGTGTGTCGTCCTGCTCGTCAATGTCATCATCACCTTCGCTGCTATCGTCAGAGCGTACGGAGAATATGGAAGCATGGAGTTAATGTTCGCTCCGATATATAAGGGTAAATGCTCGGTTTCGAGAAACTGGGTTACGGGGCTACACTTTTTCATCAACTGCTTGTGTGCAGTGACGCTTGCCACGAGCAGCTATTGCATGCAATGCCTGGCTTCGCCATCCCGAGCGGATACTGATCGCGCACACAATCAAGGGAGGTGGCTCGAAATCGGAACGGCCAGCATCGGCAACTTTCGTTTTGTCGGATATAAAAGACTGAGCCTATGGCTGGTATTGCTCCTTACTTCACTACCAATCCACATTATGTTAGTGTCTTCAGTATCCAATGCCATAAGTGACATATTCTCACTGGTACATCCAGATACAACTCCGTGGTATTCGCGTCCACTGCCGTGCAACAATACAAAGTCTTGGTAACACCCAACGAAAGCGATGCCAGCCTTGCGGCCAGCGAATGTGTTAGGTCTGCCCTCGATAAGGATAATCCTGATTTTCTCCACTCAGTGCCTCAAGGCTCCTTTGAACACCTTTCACCACGTGAATGTATTGACACATTCGCCGTCGACTATCTGCCAGACCGCAGCGCTCTTATTCTCTTGACGAATGAGTTGTACAACGACAATATCACTGTCTGGGACGCTGGCACTGGAAGCGGTCCGAGAATCCCTGTTAAAGAAGGAAGCAGAGACTTTGACTGGATATGTCGGGGCGAGGAGGCGTTGAATGAGTGTGAGGGCGATCAGATTGACCCTGAGAACTGGAAAGTTACAGCTTCACCGTTGAAAGTTAAGCTGTTGAATATTACAGCCCCCAGTCAGAACGGAACAATAATCTTCAATAGAAATACGTTTGCGAAGGTTTCACCTTGCTATAGGCAACCACTGGTCGAACCTGATATACTCTGTCGCGATATGGAAACGCTTTATCGATATATTGCAAAGGACCAAAACATTGACGGCGTCCTTGATTTCCTTCGTGATGCCCAGAATTGGCAAAACAGTTCATGGGCCAATGCAATCACCGTCGAGGAAATTTCTCAATGCGGATACCTAAGTGACAGTGAAAACGAGAAAACCAAAATTTTTAGAATAGAAGCTTGCCTCAGCGAGAAGATACCTGAAATTTGCGAGCTCAGGTTCAGTTTCCCAATTGCAATTATCGTCCTCGCTCTCAATATTGTCAACCTTGCCTCCATGTTCATGTCGGCCTATGATTCCAGGGACGATGTACTGCTGACTATCGGAGACGCAATATCGTCGTTTCTAAGTCGGCCTGACCCAAACAGCCGAGGCCGGTGTCTTTCGTCAAAGTCAAACGTCTATACAAGGGCATTTACAGCCTCTTCAGGTACGCGTTATTCTCAGGTTAATATTCCAAAACGTCTACCTCGGCCTAAAAGATGGCTTCATTCGATAAATTCGTTCCATTGGTATATAATCGTTGCAATGTAAGTATTCGACCTGATACAAATGCCGGGCTATTAGTTTGCTAACTAGCTAAATCGATCAGGTACTTTGCCAGTCTGGCAGCTGCCATCTACCTGCACCGCATTGTATTCGGCTCAGGCAAGTCTCAAAATAGTGAAGGAAGTTTCAGTGGACTTTCCGCCCACTCCGTCAAGCCCGGTTCGGCCACCTCGATGTTTTGGCAGAAATCCGGCCGCTCGAAAGATATCATGTCATTGATGCTTCTTGCGAATACTCCCCAGCTTGTGATCTCGATCTCCTATTTCCTTTACAACAACCTTTTAACATCCATGCTCCTTGCTGCCGAATACAATGGGTACGCTTTGCATCGCAGTTATCTTCGGGTCACCAAACCCCAAGGAAAACAACGGTCGGAGCTCTATATTAGCCTTCCATACAAATATGGCATGCCATTGATTGTAGCGTTTGTTGTCCTGCACTGGTTGGCATCACAAAGTCTGTCTTTCGTGCAGGAAATTCCCTTCTACGCTGATGGGAAGTTGGCCGACAATGACATAGTGAACTCTATGGGCTTGGCCCCGGTTCCTATGATAGTCGCCATGGTGCTTGGAAGTCTTATACTCATAGCGGTATTTGGCATAAGTATTAGACGATTTGGCTCCCGGATGCCTCTCGCCGGTAATTGTAGTGCTGGAATTAGCGCTGCCTGCCATCCTCCAGAGGATGATAGGGATGCAGCATTCAAGGCCGTTATGTGGGGTGAGGTAGTTACAACTACACCAGAGGACCTTGAAGGACTTAGCGCAGCTGGGATCGATGATGAAACTCGTTCCACTCTGAGCCGGGCGAGTATGGCCACGCAGGACCGTGGGTCTAAATCAACTTCAGTTCGAGTATCGAATGCGATGGCGGCGTTATCATTGGAGTCTGCAGGTGTTGCACATTGCAGTTTTACCTCTCATGATGTCGTGACACCTTCGCCTCGCCAACTGTATTCTTAAAACGCGAGGTATTGCTGGGTAATGGTTTCATTCTCTTTGGCGCATTTGTTTCCTTTATTTTGATTCTTAGAAAATGCATTGTAGGGTTTATTGTTGGGGCTTAAGTTGGCTCCAGTTAGCACGAGATATTGAAATGAATTGAATATAAACACTTCTTAACGATATGCCACAAGTTCATACCCCGCAACCTAGTCTATGAATAGATCAAAAGGGTCTGGAAATTGGATAAGGAACCCGGTGACGTTGCCCGATGGTGGGAAACCACACTCACCATTTTTTCCTACTTTCTTGCTCCAGAGTTTCATAGAAATATCTTCAGCCTGCTCCTCAGGACAGCTGATCAATACATCCTTCAGCTCCTTTGCCGTCATTGTCACGTCTCTCCAATTCATCTTCTTGAGGGTCGCGGAATCTCCATGGCAAAGACTATTTTCTCGCAATTTCATCATAGACGCAGCCAGCCCAAGCCAGAGTGTGTCGCCTACCGACAGTCTTTCCACACTGCCATAGACGCAATCTGTTGGTAGATCAATATCCCTGACAAATTAGGAGCTGTTCTGGTTTGAGAAGTTGCCTCTAGAACTGAAGAAAACTTTGATGGTCTTGGCCAATGCCTTGCCATTCATTCCAGGATAGAGATTTCATGACCCGATCTTCATTGTTCGCAAACACAGCATAAATATCGTTGCAGGTTAGGATCGCTGAAAAGAGAGTTGAAGGTATCTGGTATGTGCTGGAGCGCAGCAAGGGGGCCATACTCATTGGCTCATTCATGTTGCACCCATACAAGTACAATACATATGATTGACCGAATAATATAGAAATTCCGCTTCTGTCTGTTAGATATCCAAGAGAGCTTTGTTTTAACCCAAGCTCCTCACCATAGTTAGCCAACCAAAGCCTCAGCTGCCTCACGTGAGGCACACTCACTCCTCCGGGGGGACTACCTATAATGACAACGCACTCAAACGCGAGAATGGCCAACGTCTACCCCCCCCCCCCAGAATGATGGTTAGCATGCCGCTAAAATATTATGGGGGCCCTAACGAAAATAAAGGGGTAACGTATAGTTACCACCACAGTTGACAAAGTGGGGAGGGGGGGGGCCGTCCACAGGTTAAAATAAGGTGGCTGAAAAGATTTACCGCCCGGCGCCCGGTGCCCCTCCAAATTTTTATTTTTTTGACATCATAGTAAGTCAGACTAACACAAGTTTTTGCACCACTATCACTACAAGTAAAGCCTGGATGGCTGCCAGTGAGTCTGCTGTTATCCCCTTTCTGTCCACTAATTTTGAGGCAAAAGGAGAAGAGGCTTGAATGAGAGCAAGTCTATGATCAACTCTCTCTCTGAGTCTCTCAAAACCTTGAAGAGGTGTAGTCATGGTCTTTCTACCAACTTATGCTTGCTATATCCTAATGCAAGCTATGATTAATAATTGCTCACAAATGATGAGTCCTGTAACTCCCACCGGCCAGTCTATACATATCACAGTATCAATTATAGAACACAGAAATTTTAAGTAAAATAACTGTTATTTAGTGATAAAAAGAAAATGAAATATAATATATTTAAAATCTGAGAAAACAGATATCATTTCAATATAAAAACCAGTGGTGATTGAGCTCTTTTGCCCAGTGAGTGAAGTGGCCTAAGTCTAACCTATTAACTGTGCCATGCTTACTCACTCTCTGTAGTGAGTGCACCACAGCATACAGAAAACCACACTGTAAAGAAAATATTTTCAATATCTTCATTCTTTATCTTCAAATAATCATCATTAATTATAATCATGTCTAAATCTTCTAATTACACTGAGAAGCAGTTGTAAAGAGCTGTTAATGTGTACAAAAGTAATTCAAAATTAAAAATCACATCTCTGTCATAAGAATTCAAAGTCTTATATATCATCTTGTATGAGAGAATCAATGAGAAGAAATCAAGAACTATGAGGATTTCACTGAATCAAGCATTGAATGACAGCTAGAAAGAGGTAATTAAGATATGAATTCATCAGTTGAACATTAATTTTTACTCATTCATTATCAAGTATATTGAAGCTACTGTGAACTGCATGTTAAGATAGTATTATACAGATTCAGAGACTGCATCTCTTACAGTAAGTAAGATATGAATATATTGATTCATCAAATATCTATCAGATTATAAATAAGTTAAGCAAAAACTCATGAATTTAAAATAATGTCTCAGATCTTAATATATATAATAATGATGATAATATATATAATCACTTTACTCTGTCATCTGCAGATCAATTATCAACTGTCTTCTCATAATTAATCTTCTCAGAGATGATTGCAAAACTACATCACTAAATCAATACAGCAGTCAAGATCTTAGAAGATGTGAAGAATACTCTTACATCTGATTTAATAAGATAATTGAACAAGATCTTCAAGAATAGCATGATTCAGATGAAATTGAACATACATTATAAGAGTGAACTTACAGATCATTATTAAGCAAATAGATATTAGATCATTAAATTCTTCTGCAGACAGATATAAGTAAATGAAGTTCTCATTATTAAGAATATCAATTGTAAGATTGTGATCTGTAGAGTAGATGAGATGAAAAAGATGTTTAATAAGACTCTTCAATTGATTGAAATCAAATCTATAAAATCTACAGTCACTTATAGACTGACTGTGTGACTGTGTCTGAGATCAGAATCAGATTTTTTGATAGTCTTATTATCAATTCAACTGATCTCATTACACAGTTTTAACATTAGATAGTAGTTTTATACTGTCTCAGTGAAACTTACTGTCTACTCTTGTCACATTTTTCAAATGAGATCATGATTTTCACTTCTCAATTTAAATTATTTTTATAGCTTTAAATGACTTTAAATCTCATTTGAGTGTTATCAAAAAGCATTACTTTTTAAAAAATTAAAAATAGTCTAAAAAAAACCTTAAAATGTCTAAAAATAGTAACTTTATACTAAGAATGAGACTAAATGAGATTAAATGAGATCACTTTCTCATTTATTTCAAGTCATGATTTCATTTTAAGATCTGATATATAGTCACTTTACATGTTTTTTTGATAGCCAGTCCCAGCGGGATTCACGCCAAGAAATGTATGGGACCAGACCAAATGGGACCAAACATGAAATTCATGGTCCCGGCGGCCAGTCTAGTCACTCAATCATAATAAGATAATTCTATAGAATCTCAACTTACAGTGAATTCTACACCTTCTAATGAGTATATAGATAATCTTTATATTATAGATAGATGTGATGATGATTATTAATTAATTTTTGAAGATTACTATATTCAAAATATTTTCTTTATGATGTGGTTTTCTGTATGCTGTGGTGCACTCACTACAGAGAGTGAGTAAGCATGGCACGGTTATTAGAAGAACCTCAAAGGCAGTGCATCGATGATGCACGTGATGAATATAAACCCTAGCTCTGGAGCTTGATTGCTCTTCACCAAACGATCAATACTACTAAAACTCCAACTGGACATGCATGTCTGCTGGAATATCAGCGATAAACTGCTTCATATCTACATTTTACATATCAGTCTCACCCGGTTAAACTATCATGGCCTCACAGACCCCGAAGCAACCCACTCACTGGTTGCCCCATAAGGTGAAGTCGTTTGCCTACCCCAGGCAGCCCTTCATTCCCATTAACTAGAGCATGATTGAAACAATACGGTCGAGCTGATGTACGTGTACATGGATGTATCTTTCAGATGCGTGATTATTGGTAGTAGCGGGGTCGGCAAGACGTCCATATTATACAGGCTGTTTAAATCCGAAGTCCCACCCATGGAGGATTTTCTAGATGGTTCTGAGGATCAGGCTTCAAATCTCCGGTACGGCATGCCGGCTCTTTGTGATGCTTGCGATCACCGGACTTTAAACATGGAGTGAGTATGGTGACCCTTTCTTCCTCTCTTTTCAACCGCCTCTACCAACCCGCTGAACCGCCACTAAAAAGAGGTGGAAAACGGTAAAGGGGCCATGCCTTGTAATTTATGCTACGGGACGCCCCCTCTTTATATATACATCTTCTGTTTCTAGACATATAGTTCAGAAAGCCCCTATTTATCATGAATGTTGCAAACTCCACTCAAACTCCACGGCCAAAACTACGCCGTATATTTAAGACACTACCTATGAAGAAGCACGTCTCCGCCACCTCTCATTCCCCGGCTATCATCTGCTTCTCCGTAACGAACATCCATTCCTTCCACGCCATCGAGTCTTCTTGGCTCGAGGAGGCAAACCATTTCCATCCCAGAGGCATCCCCAAAATCTTCATCGGCAACAAAGTTGACCTGAGAACGCATCACGCTGGCGAAGGGTAGGCGGAAAAGAAGCAGAAGAATAGGAGTCAGAAACAAATCCCTCTCCTTCCACTGTGGAGAAATGATGCCCCTGAGCCCGTGGACGGGAACCGGTCGGTTTCCCGTGAGGAGGGCATGGGCTTGCCGAAGCGATCAAAGCTGTCGCCTATGTTGAGTGCTCAGCGATGACGGAAGAGGGCATGTCTGAGGTGTTCCACGCAATTCAAGAGGTAAAAATCTTTCCCCGGTTCCTCGCACTCTTTATCCCGGGCAGGCGAAGAAGAAATAGGATGAAATAAGTCTCTCCGATAGGAGTCCTTTCAGTCGCCCGCCAAAATAAAGGAAAGGAAAACCAAAATTAACAATATGCTAATTCATCTTCAACGTAGGCATGTGGAAAAGGGGGGGAATACGCTAGTCAACCTATTTATTGTATGTACGTCCGGATTGCTTGATATTGTGAAGTAAATAAACGTACGTTAGCATTAAAACCTAAAAATTGATAAAATAAAAATCAGTACATAAATAAATAAACGAAGTCAGCCATCGATAGTATGGATATGTAATACCGGGAGAACTGTCATTTGGAAAACAAGAGTGACCTTTTTGGCCCTTTTTGCCAGGTGATGTTTCATATCTACGCAATGCTTCAAGATATAGACTCCGTCAACCGATAAATGCAAATTCACGATCTATCAATATACTAGCACCACGCTGAACTGTAGAGTCGATATAGCTATTCTCATGCAAAGAAAGTAAAATATGATCACTGGCCACCCAATCGGCAAGGAGTCCGAGCTCCCTGGCTGGCAGAGGCATTGACGCTGTTTGTCAAGCTACGGGAGACAAATTTAGGGGATAATGAACGACCTTGAGCAGGCCCGTCATTGCAACCTTGGATTTACCCCTGAGTCAATTGATCATTTCATCGGAGCCGGACCAAACCTCCTCAGGCTTCCGGCACGTCTGCCTCATGTGAGCTCGCCAGCACTGCTCCTCAACCACAGCCTTTTAAAGGATTCAGATAGTACCTACCCATTGTTTGAAAACCTGAAATTGGTCGAAGCTTGACCGTGCTCGCAGCTAACTTAGTATTTCGAGGGAGGCCAAAAAAAAAAAAAAAAAAAAAAAAAAAAAAAAAAAAAAAAAAAAAAGGGGGCATCAAGAATGCTCTTCCAGCCGCTCATGCAAGAGTCTGAGGGTCATTTCGTAGAATTTTTTCAACTATAGTCAAGCGAGCTGTTCTCTAGCGGCTGTCGGCAAGAATGTGTCGAATCCTTTGAGGAGAGCGAAGGCTGCACTGCACCCCACAGGTAGGGGTCATCGCAGTGGAAAACAGAGGGGAACCTGGCTTGCAAGAAGAGAGGTGAGATATATGCTGCTTGCCAGTCGATTATACTCGATATTCATGTGCTGTATGCCCTACATCGATATCGACAACTTAGCCCACGCGCCAATTCGGCAATTGAGGGGGGGGGGCAAGTGGTGACCACTCCGTCGTCGGCCCAAAAACAAACTTTACATCTAGCCCATCCGGATAGGTACTTTTTTATATAACCGTGCCATGCTTACTCACTCTCTGTAGTGAGTGCGCCACAGCGTACGGAAAACCACACTGTAAAGAAAATATTTTCAATATCTTCATTCTTCATCTTCAAATAATCATCATTAATTATAATCATGTCTAAATCTTCTAATTACACTGAGGAGCAGTTGCAAAGAGCTGTTGATATGTATAAAAGCAATTCAAAATTAAAAATCACATCTCTGTTATGAGAATTCAAAGTCTCATATATCATCTTATATAGACTGGCTGCTGAGACCATGAATTTCACATTTGATTTCATTTGATCTGATTTCATACATTTCTTGGCGTGAATCCCACTGGGACTAATCATTAAATAAATATATAAAGTGACTATATATCAGATCTCAAAATGAAACCATGACTTGAAAAAAATAAGAAAGTGATTTTATTTAATCTCATTTAGTCTCATTCTTGACATAAAGTTACTATTTTTAGACATTTTAAGGTTTTTTTTAGACTATTTTTAATTTTTTAAAAAGTAATGCTTTTTGATAACACTCAAATGAGATTTAAAGTCATTTAAAGCAATAAAAATAATTTAAATTGAGAAGTGAAAATCATGATCTCATTTGAAAAATATGATAAGAGTAGATAGTAAGTCTTACTGAGACAGTATGAAACTACTATCTAATATTAGAACTGTGTAATGAGATCTGTCAAATTAACAATGAGACTATCAAAAATTCTGGTTCTGATCTCAGACACAGTCACACAGTCAGTCTAATCTTGTATGAGAGAATCAATGAGAAGAAATCAAGAACTATAAGAGTTTCACTGAATTAAGCATTGAATAACAGCCAGGAAGAGGCAATTAAGATATGAATTCATCAATTAAACATTAATTTTTGTTCATTTATTATCAAGCATATCAAAGCTGCTGTGAATCACATGTTGAAACAGCATTATATAGATTCAGAGACTGCATCTCTCACAGTAAGCAAGATGTAAATATATCAATTTATCAAATGTCTGTCAGATTACAAACAAGTTAAGTAAAAATTCATGAATTCAAAATAATGCTCTGAATCTCAATATATACAATGATGATGATGATGTATGTGATCACTTTATCTCATCATCTGCAGATTAACTGTTAACTATCTTCTTACAATTAATCTCTTCAGAGACAGTTGTAAAACTACATCATTAAATCAATACAGCAGTCAAGACCTTAGAAGATGTGAAGAATACCCTTACATCTGATTTGACAAGACAGTTGAACAAGATCTTCAAGAATAGCATGGTTCAGATGGAATTGAATGCATATCATGAGAGTGAACTTGCAGATCATTATTAAGTAAATAGATATTGAGTTATCAAATCCTTCTGCAGGCAGGTGCAAGTAGGTGAAGTCCTCACTATTAAGAATGCCAATTGCAAGATTGCAACCTGTAGAGCAGATGAGATGAAAAAGATATTCAATAAGACTCTTTGATTGATTGAAATCAAATCTACAAAATCTACAGTCACTCAACCACAATAAGATAATTCTATAGAATCTCAACTTACAGTGGATTCTACACCTTCTAATGAGTATATAGATAATCTTTATATTATAGATAGATGTGGTGGTGATTATTAATTAATTTTTGAAGATTACTATATTCAAAATATTTTCTTTACAGTGTGGTTTTCTGTACACTGTGGCGCACTCACTACAGAGAGTGAGTAAGCATGGCACGGTTAGTAAATACCACCATGGGCCGAAACCTTTATGCTTAAAAGTCGCCCTTTTCAATATCAACCACGCCCTTGACAAAAGCAAAACACTGCTTCTGGAACATCGTGGGCCATACTTTGCTAAGCTAACAACCCCACACCCTCTCCATTAGCATATACTGGGGCGCCTATCGAGCGTGCTTACGATGCTGCCGAGCTCCAGGCCAAAGCTTTCGGCACCGGGTATCTCAAGCACATTACGCAGCTAAAAATAAAAAGCTAAAACGAAAAAAGGCCCCCCCAGTCAGCAATTCCAACAACCCAACACAACAAACACACACTGATCAAGATTCATGCATGAAGAGAGACCAGAGCCACCCCCTACAAAACCAAGCGTTGCAACTTCGCTAGCAACAATGTACACAGGATATCCCGCGTTTGGATTCGCGATTCTTGCTAGCACTTCTCTTCCATCCAACCATTTTTAGTGAGAAGACCTTGTTGTACGCTGTAGAGGCCCTCATCCGGGAGCTTGGAAATCCCCACACACAACCGAGGTCCAAGCTCCCGATAGGCACATTCCTTAAGAGCCCGGATATTGAATTCGATATTCGACATAGCTCATCGTATGACTAGCGAGCGACCGGAAGTTTAACGGAAGAAGGGGCTGCTTGAGTCGTGCGACTCATGCGAACTCATCGACACGGGGAAACTTCGCCAATAGCGTTGGTTCTATCGAACCATACGTGCTATTGTCTGTTTTGCCGTGAACTGGCTAAAACCCTTGAAGAGCATTTTCCAATCTTCCCATTTCAACAGGGTGGAAGAAGGCAAAAGGCGTTGGGATATAGGTGTAATGCTCTAAGACGTAAGTCACGTCTCTAGACTCATCGAGCAGAATCTATCTCAAGCTGTCACAGAGAGAGAGAGAGAGAGATGTGAGAAAATTGAATATCACATGTCTTGTACAATATCATTCAAATGTGAAGTCGAAGAAAAATAATATAACATAATATACTCACAAAGAATAAAACTAACAGATATTTTAAAATATATATAATGAAAAGGGAAAAAAAGAAAACGAACACCCCTGCCTGTTTCCCCCGAAGCGCCAGAAATAATAAAGTTTTTAGGTCAAAAAGAAAGCAGAAAGATGTAGAAGAAAACAGACGAGAAGAGAGAACTCAAAAACGAAAAAAGAAAAAAAAAAGAATAAGAAATGGAACGAGAAGGGAAAATGAGAACAAAACTGAAATGAAGGGAGGGGGAAGAAGAAAAGAAAACAAATGTGAGGAGTAAATTAATATAGATGATGGGCAAAGAGGCATCAAAAAGGCGAGGGGGAAGGAAGACGAATAGACAGACAAAATGACAGATGAGGACGGCAAAGGACGCATGCAATGTCAGCTTCAACCAAAATAACTTGTGGATAAATATACATATACCAGCTCAAACAAGCCACGAATGACTGATTCTCTTTTTGATTCCTCGTCCTCGTCTTCGTCTTCGTCTTCGTCTCCCCCATTAAACATCTGGTCTAAAACAAAGTTGCGCAATAGAAGAAACCGCCAAAAGAACTAAAACATGAAGGGGGGAAAAGTGTATTACCGTCGACGTCAATTATAATGATTTGTAACTTTTCTTCCCCCGCCCCTTAATTTCGCCACAAGTTTTTGAGGCCATCCTTCCATAAAACACCCGCCAGGCAACAGCTTTATGGTGTATCGAATGGAGCTGAAACAACCAAATGCGGCGGAAGGAAAGGTGTTGAAAATGTTGTATTCTACTGTACCTCTAATAGTAAGAAAAATGTTGTTAGAGTTGTGGTCGCTTTTGCGTTTGCGCTGAAGGGGGTTGGGGGTGGGTAGGTGCGGACGGTTTCGTAAAATAAAAATGGGGAGTCCAAAAACTGCGGCTTTGCGGATCAGGTAAAGCCAAAGAAAGAAGGAAGTAATGTCACATTTCCGTTCCCTTATTATTATTAATATTGTTTATCATTATTGTTTAGGGTTTTGAGGTTGTTTGGAGTTGTTTGAGGTTGTCGTCGTTGTCGTTGTCGCGGTGTTAATCAGTAGGCCGGTCGGCTGCCCAGGTTTCCTGCCTTCTCCTGCGTATCGATGTGCCAAACCACATAATTGGGTAATCCGACCACTTGGTAGCCGGCGCGTTTCGCCATTTTGGCAAAGCCTTCTGTCTCTGCTTGGTTTTCGAAAGCGTAGCAGGGGAAGTTGATGCCTGGACCGGATTCCAGTCGTTAGCATCTACTGTGTAACAAATACACAAGGAATGGGGAGAACAAGAAAAAGAAACATACCAGCTCTATGCACATCAGCCTTGACAATAATATTGACGCCTCCAATGCCATCCAACTCCACCTCCTCGTCTTTGTTGTTTCTCCAGTCACCAATTCCAGCAAGGTATTTGCGGCCAGTGTCGAACTCCTTGTATCCCTCTGCTAGGATGGTGTCTTTATCAAGGCTGGCGGCAAGCTTCAAGCCTTTCTCACTTTCTTTCCAGGAATTGTAGTCAACTAATAACAAAAAGCAGGTCAGCATAAAATCAAGAATCAACTCCAAGATGACCAGGAAGTATCAGAATCAAGCCCCAGTCACATACATCTTCCTTCGATATCACGACCATTCTCGTACCGGTGGAACCAGATATCTACGACTCCGCGTTAGTTGTTATGCTGTGTTGACAGGCAAAATATATGGACATGGCATGGCGTACTGGGCACAAGAATATCCTTGTCATGAGCGACGAAATCCTCAATAATTCTCTTCGGACTATCGACAATATCAACATCGCGCCAGTAAACCCACGAGTGGTCCGGTTTCAACGCAGCGCTGAGCAGGAAGTTCCGGGCTTTCGCAATTGCCTTCCGCCGAGGGCCTTGGGCTTCAAAACTATGCTTCTCATGGACCTCCATGCTCAGATCCACCCCAAAATCCTTTTGGATAATCTTAGCACTACGGAAGGCTGTCTTCTCAGCCTTTTGTATCCGTTCAAGCTCAGCAGCTAGAATAGCCATAGTGTCATCTGTCGTGTCACTGATCAAGAATGCGAGGTCGATAAGGTGGTGTGGGTAGGTCAATTCGCTGACCAGATCAAAGTATTTGGGGAGATAAGGGGCAGCATCTCGGAGGGGGGTGACAATGAGGACACGTTCGTTGTTCGTCGCGGCTTTGGTGGTTGATTTGATCACATTAAGGTCAATATTTTGGATGGTGGAGGAGTTAATTTCGTACGGCTCGTGGTGGTTAAATAATACTGGTGTTTGGAGATGTGAATTCCACTCGACCATCTCATTGGGTGTCATTTTCGCCGGGGACTTTGAGGGTCCAAAGCAGTAGAAACTAAAGCACGGAAAGGGGTTCCAAAGTCAGCATTTCCCCATACCCATACCACAGGATCCTTGAAAAGGCAAGAATATGAGAACAATACATATATATACATAGATATCAGTCTCTAAAAAGGGGACAGGATAAAGGTAAACAACATACCTCTGCATTTCCGTCGCAGAACTCCAGATTCCTCTCCATAGCAGCAGTACCATACCCGTAAGGGCGAAAGCAAAGATAAATCGAGGTCGGGAAACCAGCGAGATCACAGCCCTGGCAGGAGGCAATCTGGCCTTGGCCGATTTCCACGTAACACCGCCCTTTGGGAGCAACATATCGAGATAGGCACGGGATGATCGGAAGGGATTACGACTATTGAAGGTGGGTGTGCGGGTTTGCGACCGGGGGGGTTGGGACGAACGGAGGCTCCGGAAAATATCGAGAAGCGGACACAGCGGAAGGCCGGGATCAGGAAAAGGGCAAAAAAGACAAAACCCAGGGTTTGAAACCGGGACTAGAATAGCAGATTTCCTATCCCCAAGACCGCTTTTTTTTCAAGCTCAAATAAATGTCTCACGGGGCCTCCTTTTTAATTCGACGTCCGTCCAGCAAACAGAACAGTCACCCCAACCGGTAACTGCAGAAGCGCTGTGCCCTTCCTTGCTGGGTCCAAACAGTCCAAGTGAGACGACGTTGCGGGAGACGTCTAAATTTGGGGTTTTTTTATGATTTTTTTTTAAATTTGAAATGGTTAGTTAGGAGGTGAGAACGCGTGGTCCAGACCACCTTGCTTTTGTAAACTGAAGAAGTCCTAGGATCCTATCAATTGAGAGGGGGTCCACGGGGCGAGGAGAGTGAGATGGAGAAAAAAAGGGAGATTATCAGAACGAATGGGGTAGCTGGCTGGAGAAGAGAAAGAGGAAGAAAATGGAGAGAGGACTTGGGGAGGTTTGAGGATGTTGATTATTGAAGCTGGAAAGGAGAGAGACGGGCAAAGTTGAAGGACTTAAAATTAGCCCCCAAACAGGTTTATTACGGCTGCAGATCACGGGACCGGGGGGCGGGAAGGTGTGATTGGCTGGCGGGAGCACGTTGCTCCATCGTGAAAATCGACACCTATTATTATTCCGTAGTTACATACAGAGTATTATCTGCAAGATTGGCTGAACATCATGAACTGATTTCTTATTATCCCTATCTCAGCACATCCTCTGCTAGTGAGTTGCTCTAGTGCTCCCTATTTGAACAGAAAATTGACGCTAAATTATTGGCCATTCCCTCCCTCCCTGCCCTGGCACCCAAATACGATGCAACCTGCAAGCCAAAAAGAGAAAAAAAGAAAAAAAAGAAAAAAGAAAAAGAAAAGAAAGAAAGACAGAACAACCTGATGTCAGTTGTCATTTTCCCCGTTTTCCTAGTTCCCATCTAAGATAAAACCTGCAGAGCAGACAGAGCAATGAAACCGCCTCATATTATCATCGTTTCTTTCTCTTTTATATTTAGCTAACGAAAACCCAATTTGTTCTTCTCCCTCCCTTCCTACATACCGGCCGTGTTTATAGTACGTACGTACCCTACCAGGGTACAGACTCCCAGAGCCACCCCTCTCTCTTTCTTATTCTTCCAAGTTTTCCGATTCCGATATATATCATTTTCCCCTTCTCTTTCCCCCCTGTGGTGCGAAGATTATGAACAGGTAAAAAAGAGAGAAAAAAGGAAAGTGTTTACGCACTCACAAAAAAAAGTTAAATATTACCATAAAAAGAGCTGCGAGTTACAAGAGGGAAAAAAGCAGAAAAGTGGTAACGGAATAAAGGCAAACATTGAAACCATTCAAGGAATTCACAGGAATAGACTGCACAAAAAAATAGGGAACGAAAAACGCCATCCATGTCACTCAAGCATCTCTTTACAGAGCGAAGCTAGCGAGACCACACAACAGGGTCAGCACGGCCATACCGACAGGTGGAGAGAGTGCACCGGCGTTAGATGGCTTGGGCTTGTCCGAGCCAGTGGGGGTAGTGCCAGTTTGGGGGTTCTCTTCCTGAGGTTTGCAGACCCAGTCTCCAACTGAGCCAACTTGTTCCTGGAGGGCGTCGCAGTCAAAATTCTCGGTGGTCTGCAAGTTGAATTCGCCACGGACTTCATCGAGGCCTGGGAGGTCGACCCTGGGGGGGGAAAGAAAAGAGAGAAGAGTTAGCTATGCTTCCGCGTGAAAAAAATGGAAGCAAGTTTAATGGGGTGCTCCTTGTTCATATGCTTACTTGGAGATATTGCCAGTGAAATCAAGGGCGCCGTAGACGGTCTTCAGCTTGGGAACGCCGTCGATCTCATGGAGATCAGTATTGTTTGCGATCTGGAAGGCACCCCTGACGGTCTCGAGTTTTGGGAAAGAAATGTTTTTCAGGGCTCCGTTGTCAGCAAAGACAAGATCTCCGGTGGAAGTGAGGTTGGGAGCTTTGATGGTCTCGAAATAATTAGAGTAGAATCCAAGCAGACCATCAGTTTTCTTGAGAGATGGAATATCGATCGAGCTGACATTGCGGAAGGTCATGTTAAGGGCACCCTCAAGATTGGGGAAGGAGATCTTGAGATTCTCGTGGTTAGCCGAGAAGCTAGCATAGCCGGTGATGTTTGTGATCTGGGCGACATCAGCCTCCACCAGGTGGAGGTTGTTGCTGATTTCCATGTCGCCGACAGTTTTCAACTCGATACCCTTCAAGTTCGCCAGGTCAGTGTTGGCGATGCGAATGCTCTTAGCAGTGGAAACACCCTTGGTGAAGGCCAGCTGCTGGCAATTAGGAAGGGCCTCGAAGTTGATCGCGCCGACTTGGGTGAGGGAATCAAATTGGATGGTCCTGAGCTCAATAGCGCCGCTGAGCAGGAAGGTGTCGCCAATGGATCGAAGCTGAGGAGCAAACAAGGCGGTCAAGTTGTGGGCGCCTTTGGCGGTCAGACTGCCGGTGATTTCCTGGATGCCTTCGAGTCTAATTTCTCCCTTGGGAACCTCAGCGGCAATATTCAGGTCGCCCTGGAATTTCTTGCAGGAGGAAAGGGCAGAGGCATCGCCTTGGTGCTCAATGGTCTTGGGGCCCTTGCAAGCTAGTCATGCACGCGTGGGGTTAGCCTGATGTAAATACATGAAGAGCATCGAATCGTTCGAAGGCGGAAAGATCAAGGATAGGGAGATGAAGAAGGACCCACAGTTCTGACCGGCTGCCAGGCCAGCAATGGCCAAAGCAGGAAGAAGGTACTTCATGATAGCCATTTTTCTTTTTCCGCCTTAATGGAAGAAAAGTCGATGATGGTTTGTGAGGATGGATCAATGGTAGAAGAATGATGCGATTTGGTAACTCTAGAGAAATGACAGGTGGGACAGTCAGCAAAAACAGCCAGGACAGTTAAGATAAGAGGCGGGAATCAAGAGAAGCAACGGCGGGATCGAAATCAAGGAGTCGGGGAGATGCTTTGTGGGAATTGGAATCGAGACCGAGAAGTGTTTATTTTAAGGAGTAGTTTGTGTTGCGTTCCAACAGGACTGGAGCACACCCGAACCACCAACGAACGAAGCAACGGGCGAACAACGAATAGCTTAGCAGAGACACTGGGCTAATTGTAATTGTGATAAAACGTGGTTGGGTGATGTTTTTCCTTGTTGGTTGGCAGGCCAGACAACACAGACCCGGGCAACAGGTGACACGAAAGGACAAACAGGGCCAAGCACACACGCGGAGAGAGACAGACATGGATAAGAAGACAAGGACTTACAATTAAAAGACTAATTGCTAAAGATCTGATAGGGGAGAAAAAAGTGGTACACTGGTATTCAACGGGTTATTAATTGATGAATTGAATGAAGGGATTGAATGATGAAATATGAATGTGAGCGACGACGTTGGAGGTTGGCGGTTGCGATGTTTTGAAGTTGGGTTTAAATTAAGGAGGATCAAATCAACGAGAGACGGCAAGAAGCAGGGGACACGGGGAAGGAGCAACCAACACAGAGAGAGAGAGAGAGAGAAAGAAAGCTGCTTCAATGAGGGAGAAGCAACACAGCAGGAAGGAACTGGAGGAAGAACGAAGGTAGAGAAGAAGAAGAAGAGATGTAAAGAAGAAAAAAGAACCAAAGAAGGGAGTGAAGAGAAGGAAAAGTGAAGGAAGAAGGAAGAGGCAAAGAGAGCGTGGTGGAAGCGGTAACTAACAACTAACTATTATTATTAACGAGTGGAGAACTGATTCTTGTCAGTCCATTAGTTACAACTTCTTATATTATTAGGGGCAGCCAGACAGCCAGACAGACAGCCAGACAACAAGAAACAAGCAGGGAAATCTTGGAAAGGAAAAAATGGAACCGCGCCAAGCCCGTCCCGGTACCGTACCATTCATTCCCTGGTAATTAATTATCTGTGCTGTGCTGGCCCTACTCCGAGCATGCAACATGGACTGTACATGTATAGGTAGGTACTGTATAACTATGTATTATTCAACCCATGATTAGCTTTGTTACAATTCCCCTCGGCAGGACCAAGACGATTGATACACCGCGGGTCAATCAAACAATGAACACTTGCAATAATAATAATAATAATAATAATAATAATAATACAGTCACCATATTAATAGTAGTATAACAGAAGTACTTGTTGCAACTGTCAGTAAAACTGCAAGACCACACAGAGAGAAACAAAAGAACAACAAAATAAGTTTTCCTCTCAATCACAAGCTCAGAGCCATGAGCATTCAACTAGTGATTCCAAGTTTTTTTTTTTTTTTTTTTTTTCTGTGGCGAATTAGCGTGATGTAGTTTTTACTACAGAAAAAATAAGAAATAATATGCACACTATCGTTTCAACCAAGGCGCCTATGCCCACTCCCACTTTCTGAGACAACAGCAGGAGAGGAGAACAAGACAAGAGACAGGGGCATGAATCGGGGGAGTTGAAGTGAAATACAGGAACACATTGACTCCCTCTAAAATAGACACACACTACACACATCACACATATTACACACATATTACTAAGTGATGTGCTGGTCGCTGAATACATCTAGTGCATGTATGTATTTCAATGGGGGCACTGCCATGGGAATGGGTCCAAGTTGAGATTGGGTTGGAACCACACTGAGCTGTTTTTCGGGCCGGAGTTGGCAACCAACGTTCAACTTTACCTCGACTTGGACACCTACTCACCTCGGTATTTATTATTGAAAGGAACTACTGAAAGCTGAGTGGAATTGTCAAACAATAACTATCAGCGCGCTTGTCTACACTATCCGTCTTATCAAGACGCGTTCGAATCTCGTATCTACATACTCTGCAGCGAGCAGTTGTCCGCAAGGTATGTAAATAGATCCCCGCATCATCGATATCTGCTTTAGAAACCTGTTAAGTCTTTCAACTACTGTCAACTGACACATCCTTACTTTACACTAGTCAGGTAACTTTCCTTTTTCTTTTTGAAAGAAATACTCCGGTCATTAAGGAGGTGATCGGTTTACAAAAGTTATCAAATAGCCACAACTAATAATGGTAAATATTCTAGGGGAAAACAGAGCATTCTCCCTCACAGCAAATGAAACCTGATAGATATGGACAGTGTTATTATCTATTTGTACTTATTGAAGGCCGCTTTCTCTACTCGGCTACGAGCAAAAAGATACTCTGAAAGGCGTCCCCCGTTTTCTGAAATACATAACTAATCCAACCATTCGGAAATACAAATTAGGACGGCCACCGCGCCACTCATCCATGAAAGCATGCATGCATGATATGGTTCGGTTGATCGTGGCTGCAGAACGCAGGGGTGACGTGAATGCAGTGGCTGATGTGATATTCGCTGTTACATATTATTACGTAGTATAAAAAGAAAGCAAAGGGTTAAGCTGTTTGCTGGTGGCACGCAAAACTTGAGGAGTTCCCTTGCTCTCTCTTTGGTTTAGTATAGATATATTTGTTTCTCCTCTGCTTCTGGATTTTATTTTATTTTCTCCCTTGCCAGTGATATATATAGCTGACCCTTTTACATTTCCCTGGAGTGGGCAACTCGGAAGATTTCAGCTCGCGTACATCTACAAAGTCAATTCGGAAAGGCATCTATGAATGCTACTCCTCCAAGCTTAGAGCGGATTAGTTTAGTGACGAATGTATGGAGGGGGGAGGGAAAGAAGGTGTCCTTCTTTTTATATGTAAATTGAAACAAGTTCTATCAATGAGCATTGCAGCCAGCGAGAAGAACTTTTCTGGAAATAGCTTGGACTGGTTGATAACGGCCAAGACAATTCAATTCTTTTTTAAGTTTAGCCGCGCGGATAGACTCGAACCAACCACCAACAACCTCGTATTCAGCAGCTTGTTAGCTGAGTACCTGACTCATTACTGTGCCAGGGGCAAGCGGATTGATGAATCCTCTGCGCGCGGGGAAGACAGGATTCAAGAACTTAGCAGTTGGGATGTTTTATAAAACACAGACTGCCTAGGTGAAAGCGGCACCCCCCTACGTATCTCTCTATCCCCAGCCCAATATCGATATATCAAACTAGCATGGGCTTGGTATCGTTCAAACTGCAAATAAACCCATTTCTTGTATACTAAGTTGATCTACATGAGCTTAATTTTTGGGACCAAAACCGCACGCCGTATTTTACTTTTAAAGCCTCCTCCCATCGTCATGGCTCCGAGACGCTCAGCTCGAGTTAGCGCAATAACGCAGGAGGCGGCGCTGGAGAAGAATAGTACTAGTATACAGAACCAAGCTTCAACAAAGGCAAAGCGGACCCCGAAGGCCGACATCACTGCGAAGAAATCTACAAAGACAATCTCAAAGCGAACTGGTGGGACGGGCAAGAAAGTATCTGTATCAAAAGCTGCTGCAGCCGCCGCCGCCGCAGCAGCAGCAGAAAAAGACACCCCCTTACCACCGACAGATACGAATCCCACCTTCAATACACCCGACATACCACCCCCATCGACCCCGAAACGGACACGGACATATCCAAACAACAAAGCCAACCCAGCCCTCGACCGCCCCATCGACCCGCATTTCACCACCGCAACCCTCCTCACCCCGCGCGGCAGCCATCTAACCGCCTACCCCGCGAACCCAGAGGATGCCTCCCCTTCCAAAACAGGCCTACCACGCCCCACCACCACGACAGGAACACTGTTGGAAGAAGCCGTCGCCCATCTAATAAAGGTAGCTCCGCAATTACGCCCCGTCATCGAGAAGCATCCGTGCCCGCTGTTCTCCCCCGCAGGCCTGGCCGAGGAGATCGACCCGTTCAATTCGCTAGTTAGTGGCATTATTGGCCAGCAGGTATCTGGGGCGGCGGCAAAGAGTATCAAGAAGAAATTCATGGCGTTGTTTCGTAGTGATGGTGGTGGTGGTGGTGATTGCAATTCTATTAACAACGCTACGGCTACGATTGCCACTACTGTCATTAATGATGGCGGTGCAGCAACCAAGAATAATAATAACATGGATGCAGGAGAGAAAATAGAAACCGCAGAAATGCGCTACGATCGAGATGACGATTTCCCCACCCCCGCGCAGGTCGCCAAATGCGATATCGCAACGCTACGCACGGCAGGCCTGTCGCAGCGCAAGGCGGAGTATATCCAGGGGTTGGCGGAGAAGTTTGCTAGCGGCGAGCTGAGTGCGCGGATGCTGCTGCAGGCGAGCGATGAAGAGGTTCTAGAGAAGCTGATTGCAGTCCGCGGGTTGGGGAAGTGGTCTGTGGAGATGTTCTCGTGCTTTGGGCTGAAGAGGATGGATGTGTTTTCGACGGGGGATTTGGGGGTTCAGTGAGTGTTTTCTTCCTTCTTCCCCCCACCTCCGGGGAACAGGAAGTGGTCCCCGTATTCCATCTCTGTTGCGTGTTTCTGACACTTTCTCCTTGTGACGTAGGCGAGGAATGGCTGCGTTTGTCGGCCGCGACGTTAGCAAGCTTAAAGCGAAAGGTGGTGGGAAGTTCAAGTACATGTCTGAGAAGGAGATGGTGGAGGTTGCTGCACCATTCTCGCCGTACCGGTGAGTGATATATCTGACTGGCAACCCTTTTTTCCCCTTTTGGGCTCCTCCCCTTTCTGTCAATAGGCATCAAATCGGGGTTTGCGGGACTTGATCCTCTTGTTTTCCTTTTTTTTTTTTTTTTTTTTTTTTTTTTAATTTTTTAATTTTTGCTGATTTTGTGAAAATTAAATTAGGAGTCTTTTCATGTGGTATATGTGGCGCATTGAGGATGTGGATGTCACTGTCATGCAGTGAACTTGGGGATGGGTGGGTTGTAAGATAAGGAAAGGAATGGTTTGTATTGCAATTGCTTTTGGTTCTTGGGCTGCACTGACATTTTTGGTATTCGGGCTGCGCGGGATACCTATTTTGCGATATACTGGACATTTTATACATTATATATACATGTCTATATACTTCTCATGATATTGTTAAAATACAGCTATCATTATCACACTTGATTTTTTTTTTTTATTAATAGTTGCTTGCAAAAGAAAACGCATCCCATTCCATCTATGAAAGTATAGTAGATCTGTACAGTACAATAGTAACAGTGGCTGTTATTCTCCAATATAACATTCCACCCCTAATCACACAAACCACGGCAACCGCATCTTTCCACCGTTCGCCAACACCACTCGGCTAGCGCATTTCTGAGTTTGAAGATAGAAAAAAGAGGTAGATAGAGGCATGTGAAGAGGAGTTTTGTCAAAATTGCATAACCCCACTCAGTAACTCATTTCTGATCTTCCCCGCGCAAAAATTCTTCTTCTTCTTCTTTTCTTTTTGGTTTTTGACGCCGGCCAAGGTAATGTCTCCTCCAACCTCCACCCACAACCCAACACCGTGTTAGGCGTATATATATATATATATATATATTATCGCTTGATGATGAGATTATCGAGTTCCGCCCGTTCCTTATTCTCGCGCTCGATTTCTCGGATGATAGGGCTGAGATACTCGACGTCCTAATAATTTTCAAATTCAATGATTAGTTTTTGTCCATGTTTGTTGTGAAAAATATATAGGTGAATGAAATCAATGGAGGATAGAATAAAAACCCAGGTGGGACGGGAAGGGAAGGAGGATGCGCTCGGGCTCACCTCTTCTGGCTTGGTTTGTTCTTCGACGGGGAGGAGCTGATGCTCAATGGAGAGCTGTTGTTGGGTGATACATATGTTAGCAAGATCGAATCTCTCCGTCTTATCCTTGCTTTCTGTATTCTATGCCAATTTTTGATAGCGGGGGCCTGTTAGGACGGAGAAATATAGCAGGCGAACGGACCTGGAATGCGCGTCGGATGCGGAAGACGCGATCGTAGGCTTCCTTGGGTGGAAGTCTTCTGAGTGCAAGCTGGACAGTGTCGTTCTCTTCTGGGATCAGGTCATCGGCTCTGGAAATATATTGTGTCTGCGTCAGCCGGCTTTTGTATTCATGGAAATCATGGAAATCAATCAATTAATTGGCTTCTCGGGCCTTCCTGCGGCCTAACTCGACTCCCCAGATCCCCAACACTGCATTTCACCACTATCCTGCGCATGCTCCTCATGTGCTTGGAGTGCAGATATAATTTACCTCAGTCCCATTTGTCTGTATCCGGAAGCGTTGGCGTGCCAGTTGGCGAGCGGCATCATCATCCGCTTGAGCCATGGCCGGGCGTTGATCTGTTTGAGGAGAGAAGGAGCGGACATCATGTATAGCAGGGACGGGCAGTCGACAAGCGTATTATCGGTTTCTGAGTAGCGCAATGGGCGGCGTGGGCAAGTGACAGTTCTGCTGTTTGGATGCGATTGTGATGGAAGATGAGGTTCCAGCACGGCTGAGTAATCGGGCAGCTGTGGGAAAACGGGCAGCTGGCGGCGGTCCCGTGACCGGAGCCGCTTCCGAGAGCGAGCGAGAATATCAACGGCGGCGACGACGGGTGTGGGAGGGGACATCATCCAGACGCTGACAACTTCTCTTCCTTGCTTTTTCCCTTTTACAACTCCTCTCTACACCATTGCTGCTGTCTATTTGCGCTCACTTCGACTGTCTCCAGCTTACGCTCTTATCATCACTTTGAGTCGCCGCCGCTGGGCCCGCTCCCTCCTACCTGTGCTCTCCTCTCATCTGTGATAGGGGTATGGTCGATCGCTAAGTTGCGCCGCTCCTGTTGGGAGCTGTGTGAGCGTAACGAACACCACAGGTGCTGCGGTTGAACAGGCTATATCCACGCCAAAAAGGATTCCATCAGTACCGGTCTGATAAACCGGAGGGTTTGGAGATATTTAATTACGTCAATATTAACAAGATACATACTTAATACATAGTGAATTCTCCAAAAATATAACCAGGTGGATAATTTCCGGATTCAAAACTCGCAAGAAGCAGCGCTCGTCCCGCAACGACGTAATCCCTTTGTCCCATGCTGTGGCGGTGACCGTTAAGAATTTGAGATCCCGTACCCTTCCTTGTCTATAGACATTCATTATGTCTCTGGGCCGCACCAGCTCGCCAAAGACTCTTGGCGGCTCTCCGTCGCAGCAAGGGATCTCAGCAGAGAATCAATCGACAACGCCTACATTACACGCCGGGGCCACTCCTCCACAAGGGTCGTCTGCCCTGAGGAGCCTCCAGGTATATTCCACACGGGTACCTCAGGCGTACATTACACCTTTCTGCGGAGCTAGTGCGGGCGTTGCTTCGGGCATCGTGACGTGCCCGCTGGATGTGATAAAGACAAAACTACAAGCGCAAGGGGGGTTTCAACTGCGTCGAAATGGCAAACTGGTCGAATCCGGAACACTGTATCGTGGGATGGTCGGGACGGGGAAGATGATATGGCGAGACGAAGGTATTCGAGGGCTATATAGAGGACTGGGGCCGATGCTGTTGGGCTATCTTCCCACCTGGGCTGTCTATCTAACGGTCTACGATAGATCCCGGCAATATTTCGCCAAAAAGACAGGTCTGTTCTGATTCACTTCTCCTATCTATCTATACTTTTGGTCAACTTGCTGACTACGCCTACTTGTAGATAACTGGTGGTTAGCACGGGGATATGCATCTCTCACAGCAGGTGCTTGCTCGACAATAGCAACAAACCCAATATGGGTTATCAAGACGAGACTCATGTCACAGAGCTTTCGACCCGCCAGCAACGGCTACCAAGCCCCATGGTACTACAAGAATACCTTGGATGCAGCACGCAAGATGTATGCGAGTGAAGGCATCCGTGCCTTTTACTCCGGCCTCACTCCTGCACTCCTCGGCCTTTCACATGTCGCCATTCAGTTCCCACTATATGAATATTTCAAAATGGCCTTCACCGGATTTGGAATCGGTGAACACCCAGACGCTGGAAACCCACACTGGTCGGGCATAACTGCAGCCACTTTTCTCAGTAAACTATGCGCCAGCACAGCAACATACCCACACGAAGTCCTTAGAACCCGACTGCAAACACAACAAAGATCCTCCCCCGCCTTTTCGACAGAAGGCATCGCTTTTCGAGGCGGGCTTGAGCAGCCACAGGATCACGGTCGGCCGCCAGGGACAGGTGCTGGGGCCTCATCCTCGGATGGGATGCGCAACCGTCCCCGATATCGTGGCGTGATTCGCACATGCCAAACGATTTTGATGGAGGAGGGCTGGCGGGCATTCTACGCTGGGATTGGAACAAATTTGTTCCGTGCAGTGCCGGCGGCTATGACGACGATGCTCACTTACGAATATCTCCGAAATATTATCCACTGGATGCAACACGAAGGCGAACAAATCCTAATTATGAGCGAGGATGACTCATCCCCATATTGAAAACTTTAAGATTGCTTTTTCCATCAGACGGCCGTCCGGACCATTAAAAACGGCATTGCGACTTTTATAGACCACGCACAGCCGCTCACAAAGTACTTGTAATGAATTTTTGAGAAAAAACGGATTAGAAAAATGATAACGCACCCAGTGCTCTCAATTCGTTCCTTCTCCGAGTCTCCCACGACCTTTTCACATGTACCAATACCCATCTACCTCGACCCACATTGCCATCCTGGACTAATTTACTATCCACCTGTCACTTTCCTTCCTACCTCCTCCAGTGGTACATATGTATATATTCATACGTACTCTTATTTAATTTTTGCGTACTCGGGTTCAGAGTAAGCCCCACCAGCTACCATATCCCTTCCGCCTTCCTTTCCTCACATCTTTCTGTCGCACTGTTTTTGCAACCCCCGCATTATGTCACACTAGTTGACTAATGCTGCGACTATCCATTTCGAATTGGAGCGCGAAACAACACACAACATATACAGACGAACATCTTTTGGCATTTTCTGGCGTTCTCACTTTGTTTCAACCTCACCGTCTCTCTCACACACGTTACCTTTTTGTTTGTCTAAACAAAAATATCAGATTTGGGCGTGGGGAAAACATGCGCAAAATATCTAGAAGTTTAACTCTGTTGGGGAAGGGAACTCATCTCACTTCGTTTCCATTTATTTCGATGATCACATTTGCGTTGCCTTCCATTTTCTCCGCTCCGTGGTCAACGTCTACTGGGTCAGGGGTTGATTTTGTTTGCTATCTTATAGTACTCTCGCTTTTAGTTGCATGGTGTTACTTCGTGCCCCTTCTCATGGTATGTTTTCTCATATTCTTTTCTTGGGTGGTCGGGTGGATTTCGTGTTTTGGTCCTCGGATCTTTTGCTACTGCTTCATCTACCGCTAACGTACAGTTCTTCCAACCCCATGAGCGTGATGGTTTATATTTCTGCGTGGTAGTGCGATTTATTTCTTTTGATTTTTTAATTTATTTATTTTTACCCTGTATATTATTCATTATTGCAATTATACTTGCAGACACATTTCTCCATGTAAAACATTTCTCCAGCAGATTTCGATCTTGCGAATACCAGCCAAATTTCTACTTCTACTGGGTCTTGAACACTCTTAGAAAGAGTTCTTTTTTTCATTTCCTTGTCCGTTCGCTTTTCCTTATGTTTTGGCGATGGGGCCAGGCCAGGAGCTACGCCATCGTCATACCATCATGATACGCTGTAGATAGAGGACAACGAACATAACTGTGCTTGATTGGCGATTTGATTGGATCGAGTCGTAAACAGGCTTCATATTGATTTCCATGTACATGTACATACGAGGTTAGGCACATCTATGAAACCCGGATTATCGTAATTCTCCAGATTACGTAGTATTTTGCTATTCTCATGTTGGTGTAAGAAGCCAACCACGCCCCACAGCAATACCCGTGGACATTACATAGTTAACCCCCTTCTCGGAAATAAAAATAAAAATCTGAAAATAGCGCCTCCAATGCCCTTGGAACATATTCTAAACGCACCAGAACCTTTAGGTACACATAGAAGTATCAAAGCAGTGTCTTTTCCTCTCCCAACTCCCACTGACAGGATTGCAGTTATATGCTAAAAACAAATAAAATAAAAATAAAATAACCAACACAAGACAAGAAAGGCAGAACCTCGAGAAAAAAACAGCTCCTCAAACACTCAGCTCCCACATCTCAATCTCTACATCAACATTCAACATTCAACATTAACCGCTCCCCTCCGTCCCCTCTGACCCGCCGGAGATAGAGGGCGTTAAGGATGAATATCTTGCGTTACGGCGTGCGCCGCGTATGCTAGTGATGCAGTATGCACCCAGGACAAGGGCCATGGCGAATGCGGCCATCGGGACGTGTATTGACTGTTGTACGACGTAAGTATGGAGATAAATGGAAGAGTAGGCAAGAGGGAGAATGAGAGGGTATTTGGCGATCCTTTTTATATACATCTTGCGGGAGAGAGAGTGATGGGTAACGTAGAACTTTTAGAGAGGGGGTTTGGGGAAGGACGAAAAATGAAAATTAAAAATAAACGACAGAATGAATTGTGTTGCTTTTATTTTCTGCTACCTCTTTTCAAAAAACCTGCGGCCTAAGGCATGTTGATAAAGCTTACCCTGGGATTTTTTCCGGATAGCCTCTTGCCCAGTGATTGTTTCTTGTCTGCCGTCATGCTTGTCTGTGCAGAAGCCCGTTTTTCCTATTAAGTCTGTGTACGCTAGGTAAGGATCGAAGATATCAGGCGTCTTCAATTTACGCTACTTTTCCTTCTGTACAAAGCATGGAAGAGCTCCTCCTCCTCCTCCCGCCTATATGCCGGCTTTTCGAATCAATCAGAATGTTATATGTTATCGAGAATGTTGTGTCATTGGCTGCTTACTGATTTGCAGGTTTCGCAGACCCCCAGAATAACTAGTGGTTATAAGTGACTTTTGAAAGACAATAATAAAGACAGAAAAGACTCACTAAATGTTGGCCTCTATTAATATTTTTTCGAAATATACATCCATTGGATACATACACCTTGTTCCCGATATCTACTTTTTGCGGATCTTCCCAGTCACGTGAGATTCGGGGGATCTAAGGAGTTTTTAATCACTTTTGGTGGAGGCTAATCTTTCTCTAGGGAAAGATGAACTGTACTTTTTGGCTTTGAATATAGTAATTTACATTAATTTAAGTAGAAATCCTGCGCAAAATCGCTAACAACCAATAAATCCTCCTGTCTATATAAAAGTCTATATATCTAGATATAACAAAAATAGGTAAATATACGAGGTTGCACAGAAAATGCATATAATTTGGTACAATCAGCCCAAAAGAAGAAAGAGGCCTTTCGCTAATGCTGGTTCAGAAAAAGTATGGAAAAATGTGGAGGGTGACGAAAACAAAGGTCACTGGCCAGGTAAGAAAAGAGAAGGGAAAGATATGTCAGGCCCCAATATAGATAGAGAGGTAATCTTTACCTTCGTTGATTCGAGACCACGGATATTATCGAATCAATCAGTTATGCAAGCCTAGCCGGCCCCTAAACGAGAGCCAATGTTCATATAACTCCAATTTAATCTCGACTCGAATATAGCTGGCCCAGGCCTGGACGAACTGGACGAAGTTTCGCGGCCATAGGATGCTACCGCGCTGGCGAATGACTTCCATTTGCTCCTCGAAGACAGTGCAGGTTGCATATTTTGCGAGAATTAAGAACGTGCGTAGCGGCCCGTGGCGGGTGTGAAGGTTTTCGTCAAGACTACGGGCTGGATTGGTGAGAAGAAAAAAAAGGGGGTTGGTTAGCAATTAGGTGCTATTTTGCGAGGTATCATTGAGCAGAAGGGACTTACTTAGGTCGTTGGTCTTAAGAATCAAAAGGATGATTCGGGGAACCTTCCCAAGCATTTGGACCAGCTCCTGAAGCAATCCGTCTCCCAACGCACTCGATATCGCTTCCTTCTCCTCCGCAGAGCGGGAGGATACAACCGCCTTTTTCGACAGGACGGTATAATCCCTGCCTGTGATTGCGCTGGCGAAAAGTGGGAATTGGTCATCTGTGACTCCGGCAACCTTGTACGAATACTTGCGCATTTCCGCTTCATTTGAATCAATAACAGCAAGCCATAGCTTTGCATAATTGCGCCGCAGTTCCGTGGGGATGTCACGATATAGACCATGGTCATAGAGAATGATATCGAAGTTGGGCTTCCGTCTTGAATCGTTCTTCCTGACCGCGATGTTCCCGCCATGAGGGTCACAGTGGAGAGGGGCGCCGTCTCCGAAAATCATCTCATTGAATATGTGCGCCAGGGCGGCGGAAACCTCGTCCCTGTCAATTTTGTTGGAATCCAAATATTCGAGGTCGTCAGGTCGACGGCCTGAAATAAATTCCATGACCAGAATTCGCTTCTGCGCCCACATCACTGGATTTGTGAAGTTAGTAACCAAACTGTACGAAATATTTCTCTCAAATGCATGACGCCTTACTCACCTTCAGGAATAACCAAAGGTGCAACAGCAATTGCCTTCTTCCGAAAATATTCGCGGGCTCTCTTCGCATTCTCCCCTTCCATTCTAAAATCCAACTCCTGCGGTAAAGAAAACTCCATCTCACTCGACAACCACTCAAGATCATATTCAGGGAAGAACTTCTTCAGCATCAAAAATGTAAACCGGGTTAATGCAAGATCCAGCGGAACCCATTCGGCCAACGCAGGATGCTGCACCTTCACCGCAACTTTTTGACCTGTTTCCTTTAGCACCCCAACATGGACCTGCGCCAGAGAAGCAGCCCCGATAGGTACCCTATCAAAACTTGAGAAAAGCTCGTCGATCGTGTGTCCAGTATCCTTGACGAACATCTCCTCAATTGACTCGAACGAAGAGACGGGGCATTTATCTTGTAGCGGGACAAATGTTGTGGTCCATTCCAGCGGTAGTAGGTAGCCCATGCTACTCAGGTGTTGTCCCAGCTTGATGAATATTGATCCATTCTTCTCCAGCACGCGCAAGGTTCGCTCCGCGCAGCGCTTGTGGCAGGCTTTCAGCCACTCCGCTTTTTCTTCTTCGGAGTCCGAATGTCGGTTTAGGGTCTTCCGATAGCTATATGAAGGCGAGATAGGTTAGTTCAAATTATTTGCTCGAGAAACAACCCCTGCTTCTCACCTCCCTCCACCACGATCCATTATAAATCCCAGCAAAATGCAAACGGAAAACCCCAACCCACGAAAACCCAGAATAAAGCAGATATCCCACTTACTCGTTAATACAAATGACTAACGCCGCAGTAACCCTCCCCGTCCTTTCCGCCGCCGAATATACATGCTTCAAATCGTCCGAAAAAGCAAATAACGCCGCCCCAACCGTGCCGCCTGCCGCGGCATATTGCAACGCTCTTCTAGGCCGCCTTTTACTGTTATTATTACCCCCCCTATTAATATTAATTCTTTGAAACTGTGGTATCGTCGTTGAATATACACGTGAAAGAAAGCGGGAGATCTGTCGTCTCGGCACACGTCCGTGCCGTTGCTGCAGGCATTGGTGACATATCCATTTTGAGAGTAGCGAATTGGATGGTACGGAGGAAAACGGGAACGATAATGATACGGGACCACTGCAGGAGGGCGGGAGTGGAATTGGAATTCGGATTGGGGGTCGCATGGCGAGGGGCTTAATGAGCGTAGATGTACGCCGTAGAGCGGAGGAGAGCAAACCCAATTCAAACTACCATGATAAATCTAAATGAATAATGAATTGAAAAAACGAGAATCCTCCTCCTTGTCAATTGGGTCATCTCAATTTTCGAGCCCGCTCTTATTGTTGGCTGGTGGCTTGAATCTTTCTTTGTCGTAAAGGTGTGAGAGCTTGAATTATCTGACTTCACCAGTTTTGATCGGCGGAGAAAGTTTTTTCTTGCAGGGATTACATCACGTGGCATAACCTTAATTGAACCCCCAGCTTTCTTGGCATCCGGAGCGAGCAGAAAGGGAACAAGAACTTTTAGGGATTTTTGCAACGTCAACAATAATATGTAATTTCAAATAAAATTAACAAAAAGAAGAAACCAAGAGGGAGGATATCTTGCTCATTATTGCCAAATATATATATGCAAACGCAAACGGGTCGAGTAGAAAGAAGTCGGAGTCGGGCTCCTACTTTACTATTCAGGGGTAGTTAGTTAAGAGGATGATGAAGCTGCAGAAATCAGAGGCAAATCAATAGAAAGAGAAAAGGTCTTCATATTGTTGGAATCTGCTTCTCTTTCAAGAGGCAAGAGAGCAGAATCCGATCCGAACGCGCAACCTGGTACTTTCCACCCTTGAAACAGAGCGGTGCGGCGGGGGGCGGGAGAGGGGAAGTAAAATATGACAGGATAAGAAGCTGAACAGAGGAAAGGTATTTTGGAAAAAGAAATGAAATGGAAATGGAAACACGTTCAATGATTTGACTATCGTCGAATAGCTATGCCCAATGCAGTGCGCCTATGCTATGCAATAATATATGTGTGTAAGTGTAGCCAATGCAAAGTACGTGAGTGGAAAGCTCGAGAGTCTGACAGAGACAAAAAAAAAAACCTATCCCCTTTTCTCTCTAGTACCCGCCACCACGTACATATCAAAAAATAAAAAGGAGAAAAATAATCCACACTACCCTGACGTCCGTTATGAGGAGAAACCCCGTTCTCTTTGAAATAGAGTTCAAAGAAATGGACAAGGGGGTAGATAAAGTATTGGAAAATCACAGCGAGGAAAAAGCAAAGAAATAAAAAGTCAATGCCATCAACTCGCCATCTAGTAAAGGTTCGACCCCGTACTTTTCACGTCCATCCCGAACCTCCGGTATTCGTCCTCCGCCTTCGAGCATTAACAATAGAAGACGGCGGTCTCGTCGATGACGTCGGCGTCCGCATATCCTCACTTAACTGCGGCGACGTCCCCAATGATGATACCGGCGACTGCTGAGACGAAGGTGACGAGGATGATGGCCGAAGTTGAGTCATGGAGCGTGGAAGACGTGCTTTCACCCCTCCGCTTGCTGCCCCGCCGGTCCCACCGCCGCCACCACCACCGGTAGAAGCCGCTCCGACACCCGCGGTAGCGGCTCCAGCTGCAGTCCTCCCATCCCGACTGCCAGGCCTCAGGCCTAGGCTGACACCGTTGATCCCATTCTCGCGACGGCGCGGCGTGTCCCTACCCTCATACAGTAACTTCGACCCGCTAGACCGGCTGACTTGCGGCGTGGTGGGCATTGAATGACTAGACATTAAGGAGGGAGGGGTTGTCGAGGTACTTTGTCGTCTTAGGGTTGTGCGGCGTTTGACCGCAGCAGAACCAAGAAGCGCTGCATCGCTCTCTTCGCTTGATTTTATTAGCTGGACTGCTAGTTCGCGGACTAGGACACGGGAATCCTTTTGTAGTTCGCGGATTGCGTCGAGGAGGCCGTAGCGGCTTAGAAGGCTGCCGTGTTCATCCGTTGAGTCACAGATGGTGGAGAGGATACGTAGTAGATTCACCCGCACGGCGGGTTTAGTGTGGTGTAGCTTTTGCCCAATGCGGCTGAACATATCTGGCCGGGCTAAGGTCGATGCGATAGGTGGACTAAGCCGTAATAACTTCTGGAGGGGTTCGAGAAGGTTTTCGAAAGCATTTGCTTTGGATATCGTCAGGCAACGAATAATAGCCTCGACGAAAGGAGGAGGTCCGTTTCGATCGTCTAGGAGATGTTCTTCGACTTTGGCAGTTTCCTCTTGCAGCCTAAAGTTGTACTTCGTTAACCTGGAACCCAAAAAGCGCCAACGGAATTTTTTTTACTATGCATAGGTAGCAACAAGGGGAGGAATACCATGTAAATATTGCGTCGAGAGCAGTAACCTGCCAATACGGATCCGAAAGTAACGATACGTAGAACGAAAGGCCTTTATTGCGCCACAGCTCTCGACGACCGACTTTCCCAGAATGTGCCATATCGCAAAGAATAGGCAGAGCAAATTCCTTCAATGGCCGCTCCGTCTTGACGATTTTCTGCAGGAGCGGTATGATGCCATTCAAAGCAGCATCCTCCTGGCGCGGTTTGCTTAACCTGCACATGTTATAGATTGTGTTCAGAATTTGATTAGACACTTCTCGGAAGTGTGGTCCCTTCATGGTCGATCTCAGTAGCTCTGTAAGAACATCAATTGCATTAGAGTTTTGAAGGCATTCCAGGGTCGTGGACAGCATGGATAGGTTTTTGATAAATTTCAGCATCGTTATTTGGTGGACGGGAGTCATCCTTTTCAGCTCCTTGAGAACCCCTAAAGTACTTGTTAGTTAGGCACGAAAGAAAGGATACCTCTGAAGTTCAACTTGACATACTATGCAAAACGGTCCTTTCAGCGACCATTTCCTTGACATGGCTTTCAGCCTGGGAAAATATGAAAAATATATTGGCAATCCGGCCCTCACAAAGTTCAGCAAGCTCTCCTTCTTCATCCAGAACTCTACTTAGAACTAGGGATAGCGGGTCCAAAACTGAATTTCTCGATAAGATGCGGCAGAAGTCATTTTTCGGCGTCGATCCCTGCATTTACGCCAAAAGAATGTTAACGGTAAAATCTCCAAAAGCTGCTGGAGCAATTGCAGCACGAGTGGGTGAGCGAAGGAACCCATGCGAATATAGTTTTTACCTGTAATTCAAAAACACTCCATATCCCATTAACCCCTATTAAAACGAGGTCCCGCTCATCTTCATAATCATCCTCGAGAAATTCGACAAGAACATTCAACCCACCCGCACTAACGAACATTTGTAATGTCAACGTGGACGTCTGATACATTTGTTGGACGAAGGCTGCGGCCTCAAGACGAATTTCTCGTGGGTATTTCTTCGATGCGAATTTGTTGATTATGGGAATCCCGCCAACGAAACAGAGGTTTTCTTGGACTTCGTAATCGTCGAATATGATCTAATTCGAAAGAAGAGAATTCCAATAAGTTTCGAAAAGGACGGATTCTAAGGATCGTGTTTACGAATGAAAATAACTTACCGCATTAACAATCTTTAAAAGATTGGAAATCACGTCCCGTCTCCGACAATTTTCGAGAATTTCTAAGATAGGAAGCATGCCATGGGCGCTGATAATAACACTCTTCGTCTCTGGCAAATCGGCATATAAAATCATCTGTAGAAAAATAATATTATTAGTTAATCCTCTCAGATACTGGAGGAGTTAAGGCAATATAATATAGAGAGGGCAGGGGGAAACAAGAAAGAGAGTGAAAAGAAAACTCACCAACTGCTCCGATATATCCGCCAGCACATCATCTTCCTGCGATGTCTTCAACGAACTAACAAGGCCTTCCACCTGATTCCGCAAACGCGCATACTTATCACGAGCGATATTTGCCTCCAGATCCATCTCATCCAATCCCTCCTCAAGCTGGGCAAATGGGTCGTCCTCATCATCCACATCCCCTAACCAAGAATTACACGATAGTTTCGAATTGAGCATGAGTGTACTCCGGTCCGAAGCATTACCGTCATCACTTTCCGCGTTGACAAACGTATCCTCCTCATTGCCGAGGATGTCAGAGAAGTCTTCGTCATCCTCATCTTCCGCGAACTTCTCTATTTCGATGGATGAACGAGAGCGGCTAATTGGAGGCCGTCTACGTGCGCGGCGTGATCGTTGCGGGGAATGGCCCAAGTCATCGTCACCGGCGGTCCTTTGTTCTAACATTGCGGAGTCGGTTATACCGATGGCATCAGATTTGTTCGTGTCATTGCCAACGCCCTGACGCAGTTAACCTTTTGATCTATACTACAAGCATTGCGAAAAATAAATATCCGTAAAAGGGACAGTAGGATGCATACCTGAATAGCACGCAATTTCTTTTCAAGAACAGCATCATTCGCGGCGATGAGATCTGAATAATCCTCGACGGAGCTCTCCTTGTAGAACGCAGCGGGTCGGGCCGGTTTAGTAGCGATATTGGATCTGGGGGTGACTATGGCGCTGCCGGTTTTAATAGGAGGGATAGAAAATTTCCGCTGCCGTGGTCGCCTTGGGTGTTTGGGTGGGCTGCTGTTCCCGACACTACCACTTTCGTCGTCCGGGACCGGCTGGGGGATGACAAACGGACGGATGGTTTGCAGCGGGTCTGTGTCGTTGTGATCAAAGGAACGGTTCACAGTCGTATTATCCTCGTCATCGCCGGCGGCGGGGTCACTATGACTACCTATATTTCCGAGTTCAGCCACGCTCTCAAAAGAAGCAAATGCTTTTAGCTTCTCGGGCGATAGCATCCCACCAAAGTTGTCATGTGGCTTCAAGTGCGGCAATCGAAGTGCGCTTGGGGATATCGCGGATGCGAAATCATCATCCCAGTTATCATCGGCGTCGCCGCCGTTGGGTGACCGAAACCGTTCGGCGGCATCTCTGGAGTTACCTGGCCCTGACCCCGATCCTGCAAGTAAATCTCTGGATGGTATAACAAGCGGAAGCGCAAAGTCCTTCTGTCCCGGTCCAGGTCCTGGGCTCATGTAGCCTGGTCGTAAGGGTTTCCGCGCGGAGTTGGCGTCTGGTGAACGCAGGGCCTCGTTCCATTCCTGCACGCTCTTGACAGCTTCTTCATACTCGGTGGATTTTGTAGTGACGACGGAATCAGATCTTCTGGCATTGACTATCCAGGGGTGTTTCAGAAGTTTTCGTGCGGTCACTCGAAGGTTCGGGTCTTTTTGGAAACATTGCATGAGAAAATCTCTCACAGCCTGCCTTGGCGGTTAGTCTTCGTAAATTATCACACGAGTGTTGAACACGGGGGGGAAAGCTGACAGGTGATGCTCCCTGGGGTAAGGGAGGATGGTCATCATTAACTATACGAAATAAGG